AGAAACTAAATTAGCCCACCTTTTACCAAGTCGAGTAATGAAGAAAGGGAAATGAAATTTGTTTTAGTCTTGTTTAAAAATCTTCTGGTCACAACGACTTTTAGAGTTGCAAAAATTAACACAAAAACAATGGTCTCAAGAAAAAAAATAAAGAAAATTTCCTAAAACGGCAAAGATACGTAAAGTCATTTTATTCATAAACGTTGTAGTGATACTTAATACGATGCATGTCCAATTACGAAACTCGGTACAAAACTGACTCAAGAATGTTGCAAAACTACAATTTCACATTTTACGCTTAGCACTAACCATACCAAATTTGGGCATCATGACATTTAAACTTTCTATGAAAATTGAAATGGCGAATCTACTCCCCCACCCCCCATTCGTGATAAAATTTGGGATTGTATATAAGTAATAGCCAAATTTCTGCTAAAAGGCAATTTTATAGCCCAACCAACAACCACACTATGAAGAACTTGTTTGTCATATTATCATTCTTTTTTATCGCTTTTGCTTTAGCACAAGTAGGCGATGTTGACTTGGTGAGTCAAGCGGTAGTCAAAAGAGAAACTGAGCCAACTCAGCAGCAGTTGGAAGAAGTAGACCAATATTTGAAGCTGTTAGTCGCTGCGGTTACTGGTAACGTCACAAAGAGAGATAACCCAGCATTAACAGCCGCATTTACTGCCTTGAACCAATCCGGTACTGGTGTTCAAATCATTCATGGGCTTGCCACAAGCTCTGTTTCTCAAGGCACCACTATCAAAGCTGTCGAAGAATATGTGAAAAACACCGGGTTGGAAACATTATTGGAAGCTGCAGACAATTCTGGTTTAGCTGTTTCAGTTGTTATGAGATTCTTTATCAACTACAAGTTGATTCCTGCTTTGTGGGATATCATTGTCACTTTATACAACAATGGAGTCATATCAGTTAAGAGATTGGATATATTGGGAACAATTGGCGATATCCTTGGTACCGTTCAAGAGTCCATTTGGTCATCAGTTATCACCTTGGTTAACCTTGTTGCTGACCCTGAATCTATTTGTGAGTCACTAAACAAATCAGGCTTGGGTGTTTCGGTTGTTGATGATCTTTTCTCAACCACTGATGGTCAACTGTTCCTTGTTAAATTGATAACCGCTCTTGTTAACGATGGAATTATCACCTTGGGTATCTTGCTTGATGCTTTGAGAGCGTCGAGCTTTCTTCAAAATACATTTACTAAGGTCCTCTCAAGCTCCACAAACAGAAAAATTATTTTCATTTGGGCCGTCAACAATTTGGTATCGTTAATCAAGTACATCTTTTAGAGGCAAGAAAATCATTCAGTTCAATCGTTAACAAATAGGCTTATATAATAAAAGCTATATTCCCCTTTCTACCATAGGTCTTCAACTCTCTAACGTGATAACGTCGAACTTCTTTAAAGCTTCATTCAAGCTGAAATTTGCCTCAGCTTGATGCCATCTCTCGTGCAATCTTCCATGCAATAAAACCAACTTTGGCTCCTCGGATTTTGTATCATTGATGGCTTTTCTTCCAAATAAGCTTGACTTGATTTTGTTCCAAGCAGCATAGTCAATCTTTTCCCATTCTTCAGGCTTGTTATAACCCAAGCGTTTCAACTTGGGGGAATTCAATGGCTCTGGGTCAAGTATTGCTGTCTCCTTAGGCTTGCTAAAATAGATCAACACCAACCTTCTGTAATTTTTTTGGTCATCTGGAGGAGAAACAACTCTGTGAATAGACGACTTGAAATACCCACCAGTGATAAATTCCATCGCATCGCCAATATTAACAATCAATCCATTAGGCGTATGCCCAACATAGTTCCATTCTCCAGTATAGTAATCACGGATTTGCAACGACAAAATAGGTTGTGACGTGATAAATGTAAATCCACCACTATCAGAGTGTCCTCTCAACCATGTATTATCAACCTTCTTTTGGTCTTCAGGAGGCATGGCATCATAAAGCATGAATCTCCCGGCGCCCCCGCCCGATCCATCAAAATCACCTTCTTTAATGGCATAATAGTTGTCATAAATGAATCCTTCAGGAAGCTCCAACACCAAATCAGTCAAATTGGAAATTTTTTTCAAAGTGTCTGTGTGTAGGAAATGATAATACTCGGCAATTTCTGTAAGATGGTCCTTGACCACTTCGGGATAATTGTTGGCGTGTGTGTCAAAGAATCGCAAATGGTTCATGTGGTTAAAGTTGTAGTGGGTGATGGAGTCTTCAACGCCGTTCCTCATGGACCAGTAACCTTTTGGTTTGAAACCGGATCCTCTTTCAGCACCAATGGATTTCGAGCGGTCTTCAAGATCGGATTTGAGAGCACCAGCCAAGTGCTTCTTTTGTTCCTCCACAGGTAACTCCAACAATGCCTGTGCAACTGATTTGAGGTGCTCCAATTTCTCCACTTCCAATCCATGGTTAATCACAGAGATGAACCCATACGTAGATAGTGATTTTTCAATCTTGTCGGCCAACTGCTTCCTTGCAGGAAGGTTTTCAGGACCGTCTTTGTATAAAGATAAATCGATTGATTCTAATTCTATTGGCTTTTCCTTTGAGGAGGACAAGGGTGCTTCGGCAAATGGTCTTAAATTGTAAGTACTTGATTTGGAAGGCATGATTGGGTGTAGTATGCTCGTTTATTGATCTCAACCCACAAGCTGGTTACTTCTTGACAAGTTTTATATCAAATCCTCACAAAGGGGGGTGGTGGCTCATTTAGGATATGTTTTGGTAGCCGAAGGTGTGGTGTCAATTATCATACTTTTACATATTGTGTCATCGGTTATCATAATAAGTTGAGATTAGGTAAGCAGCACAAGAAAAAACTGTGGCTGCGAAAATTCGAGCAAATGATTAACATTTATCCAATTAGACAATGCTGCTAGAGAAGCTGTCAAATATTATCGTCGCTGTTTATCAATCTTAACCTCTATTAATGTAATACTTACTCTTCCTTACTAGCAAAATTCTCCTTCAATGTCTTCTCCAATTTTGCTTCAAACTCTTGTCGAGTTTCACCCTCCTTCCATCGCAAATTATAAGCAGGATGATCTGGTTTCAAAAATGTAGCATCTTCTCTATCAATTCCATACAAATTCTCTCTAAAAGTCAAATCTTCCTTGGGGTAATCGTCCCAAACCAAGCCTCGTCTCTGTAACTCTGGTATCAACAAATCGACAATATCTTCAAATGAGCCAGGTGTGATTGCATAGGTGAAATTGAACCCATCAACACCAGCTACATCAACCCAGTTCTCAATCTCGTCTGCTACATCAGTTGGAGATCCAATAAACAAGACACCAGATCCTCCAATAGAAAGTTTGTTAGCAATGTAGCCCCTAGTCTTTTTAATATCTGGTGGATCTCCTGGGAAGGGCTTGATCATCATATCAGCAAAACTGCGAACAGCATTGCTTTCAACCTGATCCAATTCTTGGTCCCAGTCGTATTGGCCAAGATCAACTCCAGTCCAGCCTCCAAAAAGCGCTTGAGCGCCTTCGACATCAGCGTACTGTTTATAATCTTTAAACTTCTCAACTGCTTCCTCATAGGTAGGTGCAACAATGACAGTAACCAATTGTACCTTTTTCACATCATCAGGGTTTCTTCCATGCTTCCTAATCAAAGAGTTGAGCTTGTCAATTTTTGATTTTAATCCCTCGGGAGTATTGCCGTTTATGAATACTGCCTCAGCATGTTTTGCTGCATATTCCATACCTTTAGTACTTGCACCCGCTTGCAATATAACCGGAAGTCTTTGGTAAGGATTTGGTTCACAGATAAATGGGCCAGGGACTTTGAAATGTTTTCCTTCGTAATTGATCTCTCTAATTCTTTGGGGGTCGGAAAAAGCACCTTTCTGCAAGTCTAATTGCACCGCATCATCTGCCCACGAAGATAAAAATAGTTGATAAATCACTTCCAAATACTCTTCAGCCTTTTCGTATCTTTCGTCATGTGGTGGCAATGGCTCCCCATTTAACAAGTTTCTGCTAGCACTGTCCAAATACGATGATACAATGTTCCATCCAACGCGCCCCTTTGTCAAACGATCCAACGTTGCCAATCTTCTTGCAAAATGGTAAGGGGCTTCGCTAATGGTGCTTGAAGTAACAGCAAAAGATAAGTTCTTTGTCACCGCAGCCATGGCCAGAACTACCGCACTAGGTTCATTGATGGGCCATTGAGCACCAGCTTTGGCTGCGGCAGTCAAGTTCCTAGGACCATTGTAAACGTCATATGGCCCCAACACATCGGCAATGAACAAGGCATTGAACTTTCCTTTTTCCAATAGTTTGGCAAGATTTACCCAGTACTCAATTGTGTTGTAATCTCTTGATTTATCCTTTGGATGTTTCCACAACCCAGGTGATTGCAAACCAGGGGTTCCCATGTCAAATGCATTGACAATGATTTGTTTTCTCTCTTTTTTCTGTCTTTTGGTAGTCATTTTGGTGATTACTAGTTGAAAAGAAGAACAAGACGTGCGAGTGGGATTTGGCTTCAGCTTATAAACAATGATGGAGGATTGGGAATAAACTTTTAGTTAAAAAAAAAACTGTGGCTTTAGCGTTGCAAAACGCAAACGCGCTAATTGATTTTTTGCAAAACAGTACTCCGATATTGCGAATCTTCCCAAATTATGCCTCTGATGGGGTAGTTACTTGATGGGTAGAAGATATCGCGCAATTCAGGCACAATGAAAGCATTTTTATTGCCTAGGGGAATGTAGGTTCTAGTTGACACCCAAATGACGTATGTTATACTTCACGTTGTAAGTGTGTATATATAGATGAGTGATTTTGCTCTCTACTATATGTCATAGTGACCTTGACTTCCTGATGGTAGTAGGTTAGATTGATGTTCTTTTCTACTAGTCGTTGAGTTTGACCTTCTTTTACATTGACGTATATTCTCTTTTTCAGGGTGGAGTTAAATTTTTTTTAACCAAATTTTGCACTTGGCAACCACAAATTATAGAAAAATGTCATCAAGGTATGCTATTACTCCCATAGATGGTTCATGACAATGTAATGACCTAACCAATCCAGACCATCAACCTTACGCCATTTAGTCCGTAGCTCACAAGAGTTTGTCAATTGCTTGAACCCATTACTTGAAGAGTCGTTACCAGTTGTGCTGCCAACCACGAAAGTTAAAACATTGTACCTTTCATCATTTTTGATTTGCACACAGGAACCGCAGAATGCCCAACGAGTATCTAGATGCAACGAACCAAAGCCTCGCCGATTGAAACCTAATCGAAAGCTGCCAGTTACTCGAATTCCACATAAAAAGGTGATTGTTAATTCAGCGGTTAATGCAACAGACGAAAACGACGTCCCACCAATTGAAAGCAGTGATCCAAAAGAGGTTTATTTGAGCTACAATGATTCAAACACACCAAAATATATTGGGAAATTCTTTAATGTTATGGTTGGTAATCGATTAAAACGCCAATGCAAATACTGTCAGTCGCAATATGCTGATTTGAAAGGGTTCAATCGACATTTTGAAAAGAAACATGGCATACGAACCTGCTAGCATCATCATTTAGCAGCTTGACTAGACAGCACGACTTCGTTTGCAATCAATTCATTCTATTGTAATAAAGTACTGATGGAAGGAGTTCTAATATGACACAATGTATATATCCTTTGTTATACACTTTGCCTTCTTTCAAAAGCTCTTTGTTATTCAATCTCGTAGCCTCAGACTGAAATCCCTTTGCTAAAGCAGTCAAGATGTGGTTTTATATGCTTGTGTGCATATCACAAGAGTCAAAGTGTCGAAGTCAAAAGTTGGCCGCGCTATCGAGCTTCTTCGTTGTCCCATTCTATTACACGGCGCTTATAGCTCTGTTTAGCTAAGCAGTTAAAAGACAAGAAGTAATCTAAGCCCTGTCGGTGCGGACAAAAGAATGTCGAATCCGGATATTTTTCCTGCCACAAATGGGGTAATGTCCGTTTTCAGCTTCTTACGTCCACCGTATATACGACAACCCTCTCTGTCAGTAGTCAATCTTGTCCTTTATTGAACATGCCTGGGAATCCTACAACTAATGTTCTACCTTCCTCCTTTTATTAATCAAAGGATCGAACCGTTTGGCTAAAGGGCAAACGGCTTTAGCAGAATTTATCACTAATTCCGTGTCAATATTTTTGTGTTTAAGGCTATAGCGGGTGTATTTCCCAATTGGGATGATTTAAATCCTTAAAAGCGTATGAAAATCCATAACTGCTGTAAGTCTTAGTTCATTGCCATCAAACGGTTTATTCACTTATTTGTTAGAGTGACCCTTTGATTTGAGGGATGAGACACTATAAGCTGAAGAAGGTAAGCATTTGGTTGTCGCTATTTAAAACGTCTCATTAGTGCCATGAGCCTTTCCACTTCTTTTTCTTTTTTGGCATGACTAATTTTTTTAAAATACGAGATGGTTGATATAACAGAAATGCGGTGAGAATAAGAATATTGAATGAGTCTAGTAAAGCCTTGCCACTAGCTCCGTGTCCCTCTTTACCTTTCCCTATTACAACAATCTGTGCGTTCTAGATCATCGGATCAGCCGCAATGGTCTAACCCAAATAGGATTCAATTCCGTTTTTGTGGATATTTTGTGGATATTTTGCCTTACAAGCACACCCGATATCTTTTCGTTCTATCTTGTTTTGTTTCTTTGTTTTATTATGTAAACTATTAAGGTTCTAAAAAGACAATTGTGACAAACATACACAAAAGAAAAATAATTAAATTTTATAAGAAGAGGCAAAAAAGCAAAGAAACAGATTTTTCATTAATATATATATATATCTATATCTATATCTTTACAAATAGCTTGTACGAAAATCAACCACATAGCTTGTCATTCATTTCACTTTTTTATAATCTATTCTGCATCAACTTATACCACAAACGCACACACACACATTATTACAATGGCATCATCATCTGCATTAGAATCAAACCAACTACTGTTGGAGCGACAAAAGAGGCTCTTGAGCTTTTTAATGTCCAAGAATGTACCACCTGTACCAACACAAGAAGAAAGGAAACCATACCCTGGAGCTACAGCTAATGTTATTAAACAAATTTTTTTTTGGTGGCTAGCACCTGTGATGAACACAGGATACCAAAGAACTTTACAACCAGATGACATGTTTTATTTAACTGATGATATCAAGGTGCAAAAAATGGCAGATGATTTTTACAGGTATATGTCAAACGATATTGATCGATCCAAGCAAAAACACATTGCTGCAAAATGCAAAGAAAGAGGAGAAACGGTTGAAACTACTTCGGTGGATCCCGAAGAAGACTTGAAAGATTATGAATTGAGCAAATTTTTAACTGTCTGGGCCTTGGCCAAGACTTTCAAATGGCAGTATACTTGGGCCTGTGTGTGCTTAGCATTGAGTAATGCAGGTCAAACAACGATGCCATTATTGAGTAAGAAATTGATCAAATACGTCGAGTTGAAGGCATATGGTCAAGAACCTGGAATAGGAAAAGGTCTTGGTTATTCCTTTGGTACCACCGCAATGGTGTTTATTGTTGGTGTGTTGATTAACCACTTCTTTTATCGCTCGATGATTACTGGTGCACAAGCAAAGGCAGTATTGACAAAGGCACTTTTGGATAAGTCATTCAAACTTAGTGCTGAAGCCAAACACAAGTATTCTGTGGGTAAGATCACTTCGATGTTGGGGACAGATTTGTCAAGAATAGATTTTGCCTTGGGTTTCCAGCCATTTATTATCGTGTTCCCCATTCCAATCGCTATTGCCATTGCCATTTTGATCGTCAACATAGGTGTTGCGTCGTTAGTTGGAGTTGGAATATTACTTGTGTTTATGGTCGGTATTGCTTTTTCAACGGGGAAATTGATTGCTTATAGGAAAAAGGCCAATCATTATACCGACTCGAGGGTTAATTACATAAAGGAAGCATTAAACAATTTGAAAGTTATTAAATTTTATTCTTGGGAACCACCCTACCATGAAAATATCTCCGATCTTAGGAAGAAGGAGATGAAGATTATTTATCGTATGCAAGTGCTTCGGAATGTTGTTACTTCGTTTGCCATGTCCTTGACATTATTTGCATCTATGACGGCATTTTTGGTTCTTTACGCGATATCAAATGGTAAGAGAGATCCAGCGTCTATTTTCTCATCACTTTCCCTTTACAATACCTTGACTCAACAGGTGTTTTTGTTACCCATGGCTTTAGCTACTGGTGCCGATGCGTTTATGGGGATTTCTCGTGTAGGTGACTTTATGTCACAGAGCGAGATAAATCCAGAAGAAAATGCGATTGAAGCTCCTCCTGATGTGCAAGAATGGATGGATAAGGAATCGTTGTCAATTGATGTCGAAGATGCCTCATTCGAGTGGGAAATATTTGAAGATGATGAAGAGAAAGATGGCAAGAATCTGAAAAAGAATGGTAGCAAAAAGAGAAAGTCAGAGGAAAATATTATCTTGGATGTACAAGACAGTGAATCATCTTTAACTAAAGGCTTGGATGGCTCTTCATCTTCGGAAGTTTCTTCAGCAGAGGATGCCCACTTTGAAGGGTTGAATAACATTGACTTTAAAATCAAAAAAGGAGAATTTGTTGTGATTACTGGTTTAATTGGATCGGGTAAGTCATCATTGTTATCAGCCATGTCTGGTTTTATGAAACGTACCAGTGGATCGGTTAATGTCAATGGGTCATTGTTGCTTTGTGGATACCCATGGGTGCAAAACTCAACCGTTAAAGACAATATCATCTTTGGATCGGAATTTGATGAGGAAAAATACAAGAAAGTAATTTATGCATGTTCTTTGGAAGCGGATTTGGAATTGTTACCTGCTGGTGATAGAACTGAGATTGGTGAGCGTGGTATTACTTTATCTGGTGGTCAAAAGGCTAGAATCAATCTTGCTCGTGCTGTTTATGCCAACAAGGATATTATTCTTTTGGATGATGTGTTGAGTGCCGTCGATGCTCGTGTTGGTAAACATATTATGAACAATTGTCTCTTGGACTTGTTGAAGGAAAAGACTAGAGTCTTGGCTACCCATCAATTGTCCCTTATTGGATCTGCTGATCGTGTTATTTTTTTGAATGGAGATGGTTCAATTGATGTTGGAACTTTTGAGGAATTAAAGGAAAGGAATCCTGGATTTGATAAATTAATGGCATATAACAGTGAATCACATGAAGAAGATGAAGAGGAGGAGGAAAATTTGGAAGAGATTGCTGAAGAAGACTTATTCGAGGACGACAAGCGTGTGGTTGAACGGCAATTAACGCGTCGCTCTACGAGGACAGTCACCTCCGTGGGAGCTTTCCCTGAAGAGGAATATGATGAGGCAGATGAAGAAGCCCGTCATCACGAATACAACTTGGACGAACAGGCCGATGGTAAGTTGATTGGAGATGAGGAGCGTGCTGTTAATGCCATCAGTAAGGAGATATACGCTAGATATTTCGAATTGGGTTCTGGTAGACTCACGCCATGGGTGATGCTTCCTTTATTGCTTTTCTTTATTGTGGTGGCCACATTCAGTCAAATATTTACAAACACGTGGTTGTCATTTTGGACGGAATACAAGTTTGACAAGCCCGACAAGTTTTACATTGGAATTTATATCATGTTTGCCTTTTTGTCATTTATTTTGTTGACTATCGAATTTATCATCTTGGTTAAAATCACAAATACTGCATCGGTTATGATGAATGTGCTTGCTGTTAAGAAAGTTTTACATGCACCAATGTCATTTATGGACACTACGCCAATGGGACGTATATTGAATCGATTCACTAAAGATACTGATGTTTTGGATAATGAAATTGGTGATCAGTTGAGATTCTTTTTGTATGTGTTTGCCAACATTATTGGTGTCGTTATTTTGTGTATCATATACTTGCCATGGTTTGCCATTGCTGTTCCGTTCTTGGGAATGTTGTTTGTTTCCATTTCCAACTACTATCAAGCATCAGCTCGTGAGATTAAACGTTTGGAAGCAGTTCAAAGATCGCTTGTTTACAATAATTTCAATGAAACTTTGAGTGGTATGGCTACGATCAAAGCATATAAAGCAACCGAACGATTTATTGGCAAGAATAACTATTTGATTGATCGTATGAATGAAGCTTATTACATAACAATTGCTAATCAACGTTGGTTGGCTATTCATATGGATTTTGTTGCAACGTTGTTTGCCTTGTTGATTGCTTTGCTTTGTGTCAACCGTGTGTTTAATGTGAGTGCCAGTGCTGTTGGTTTGATTTTGTCTTATGTCTTGCAAATCGCCGGTCAATTGTCAATGCTTATTAGAACATTTACTCAGGTGGAAAATGAAATGAACTCGGCAGAAAGATTGAACTCCTATGCGACAGACTTGCCTGTTGAAGCACCATATGTCATTACCGAAAATACTCCACCACCAAATTGGCCAACACAAGGTAATATCACTTTTGATCATGTATCGTTGGCATATAGACCTGGTTTGCCTTTGGTTTTGAAGGATTTGAACTTTACTGTTAATCCGATTGAGAAAATTGGTATTTGTGGTAGAACTGGTGCTGGTAAATCATCAATCATGACAGCCTTGTACCGATTGTCGGAATTAGATTCTGGAAGGATTGAAATTGATGGAATCGACATCTCCAAGTTGGGATTGAGAGACTTGCGTTCCAAATTATCAATCATCCCACAAGATCCAGTTTTGTTTAGGGGTACGATAAGAACCAACTTGGATCCATTTAATGAACACGAAGATGATAGATTATGGGATGCTTTAAGGAGAACAGGGTTAATTGAAGAGTCAAGGTTGGAGTCGGTTAAAAAGCAAAGCAAGTCAACAACTAAACCAGCCACTGGAGAAATTTCTGAAAAGACAACAGAAAAAGCCACTGCTACTCCTGATTCATTGGCATTGCACAAATTCCATTTAGACCAAGCGGTTGAAGATGACGGTTCGAATTTCTCACTTGGTGAGCGACAATTAATTGCATTTGCACGTGCCTTGGTTCGTGACTCGAAGATTCTTATCTTGGATGAAGCTACATCATCTGTTGATTACGAAACTGACTCGAAAATTCAGAAAACGATTATCCGTGAATTTAAAGATTGTACTATTTTGTGTATTGCCCATCGTTTGAAGACCATTCTTAATTATGATCGAATTTTGGTATTGGATAAAGGTGAAGTTAAAGAGTTTGATACTCCTTGGAATTTGTTTAATGCAAGAGGTAGCATATTTCAACAAATGTGTGAGCGGTCAAATGTTACTGAACAGGATTTTGCCAGTTCAGTACAGTTTTAGAAGGAGGTGAAGGTGCAATTAGAGGCAAGGCGATGTTGAGAGGGGGGAGGGGGTTAAATAATATATGTACACACAACAAATCCTAATTCGTCATATTTATATGTTCTTAAAATGAATAGAAAGGGTTATATTATATCGAGACTTTGTGTAAAATTGATTTTGGTTTTGCCAAATTTACATACAAAATTTTCTATGGAAAAACCAATAAATGGAATGACAACCGCACTTCTCTGGGTTCTATTATCAAACTAGGTTATTATTATAAAGAAATCTCTTTCCAACTTTGATGCAACAACAGCGAGTTCAAATTAATCCAAAAACATCTAGCCCGTTTCAGGTGGGGTTGTCAACTGCACCAGAATTAACCATTCCATTTGTACACAAGGAAACGATAAATTCAAGCTCTTCAAGTTTGGAAGAACTCTGACACACGACGGAATTTGCTGAAGATTATTTCCACACAGGCCAATAACAGTCACTGACGAGGGAAAATTAGCATGCACAGAAATCAACTTATTATCGTTCAAATCGCATTTCATCAAACACGAATCCTTCGGAAATGTGATATATTCACCCAGTGAAGAAGATTCGCTGAAAGGTTCAATATTTCGACAGACGCGGGAAATTGAGCTCGACCGAGGCATCTCAATTCACAGCCCTGGAGATCCAAGATCTCACTATGGCTGGAAGTTTGAGATTCTGCATGGCCAATTCAGTGTTCATCCCTAGGTCCAACTCATCTAAATGTAGGACTTCTCCCTTGGCATTTGTTGAAACATCAACTTTTTCTAAATGATTTTCATTCAGTAAAAGAACCCTTGCAGTTGGTGGAATATCGATTTTACAAAAAGTCTTCAACGTATTAGCTTCTGCATTGAGCATTTTTAGGTTCTGAGGAAATTCGATTATTATATTGAATCTTACTTTTCCCAATCACCTTGTTGACGGAAATTTTGAGAAAGGGGATCTCGTCTAGCAAGTTCGACCCTTAAAGCAGCAAAAGTTGAATGGTGTTGCCAATGCCAGCATAGGTCACAATTTTCTCCCATATTTCCAATGGTAAAAAATCAAGTCGGGACATTGTTGTGAAGTTAATTGATGTGGTGTGATTTTGAAACAGTGTTTATGTTGTAGTAGCTCGGTATCGGTATCGGTATCGGTATCGGTACCGAGGGTTGGGCTGTCAATTCTGTGTAGCAGAATTTTTGCGTGACACTAAAAGAGATAGATAACATGAAATTGATTAATTCTGATACTTTTGTTTGACTATCCGTCAACACACGGCAGCAATACCTCTACATCATTACTATAGTGATTGAAAGATGGTTATAAAATAGTATTCACAAAACAAATATGTTAAAGACATAGACAGATAAACACACACGAACTATAAACTAATATTAAGAAAATAATTGGATTGAATTTTAAAAGCCCTTGACGTAAAGAAGAAAATAAAAAAAAAAAATAAAAAAGAAGTATGAAGATGTCTTTTCTCTCTTTGTCTCTTTCAGTGGTTATTAGAGTATTAACCTATTCTTAGGCGCAGCAATGAAATTGTGTTTGAGCGATTTACATCTTGAGACATTCCTTCTTCATGTATGTAGAATACCTGGTGTATGATGAAATTGTTTCTATTTATAACTTATTTGACTGCGAATGCCGTAAAAAATAATGTACCACAAAAGCTCAGCCCTCATCAATCATCAAAATGAATGAATATATTTTTGACATGTGTTATGTGTGTATGTTTGTATGAATGTATGAAGTTAGTGCCACTCACTGTGTAGGCTGTGCAAAGCGCAAAACTAGAAAATAGACAAAAAAGACAGGAAAAGAAAAAGAAAAAGAAAAGAGTTTTCACAAATGCCAGTCCATGATGATCTATAGATCATTGTACATAAGAAGAGGTTGTCATCTATATATAGATTCATCCCCAATGACATTGTCATTTAAATAGTCTGTGATCTTCTCCTTTTTAAACAAATGAAATTTTAGCGCGCAGGTCATTTTCTTCTCTCCACTCAACAAACAAGCAAGCAAGCAAACAAACAAACTGAAGCCAAAAAGACCTCAAAGAGTTTCTTAACAGCACCGAAATTAGGAGTTTAAAAACTGATATTACGTTACATTTAGAATCAACTAACCTACATCAATGAGTGCAGCAGTTAAAAGTGCAGACCAACACGCGGAAGGGAGCCATCTCATAAACTTTGTCAACAAGATCATTGGCCAACCTGCCTCATATGCTAACAAGAAGAATTACACTTTTGGTAAAACCTTGGGTGCAGGTTCGTTTGGAATTGTGAGATATGCTAGAAACAACGTCACTGGAGAAGATGTAGCAATGAAGATTATCTTGAAAAAGGCATTAAAGGGAAACGAGGCAATGGTGTTGGAGGAAATCAAGTTGTTGGAGGAGTTGCACAATTCCCACATTGTTGGATTTAGAGATTGGTTTGAAAGCAAGGATAAATTCTACATTGCTACGCAATTGGCCACCGGTGGTGAGTTGTTTGATCGAATAGTTCAGCAAGGTAGATTCACTGAACATGACGCGTCATTGGTTATTATTCAAATGTTGGAAGCACTTCAATACTTGCATGAACGTGATATTGTGCACAGAGACATTAAACCAGAGAATGTATTATACTTAACTCCCAAGACAAATAGTCCTATTGTTTTAGCCGATTTTGGTATTGCCAAACGGTTACAAAACTCCGATGAGAAATTATTGTCGTCAGCTGGATCTTTTGGATATGCCGCACCAGAAGTTATCCTTGGGACTGGACATGGTAAACCATGTGATATTTGGTCATTGGGAGTTGTCACGTATACTATCCTCTGTGGTTACTCACCGTTCAGATCGGAGAATGTTACTGATTTCATTAATGAGGTGAAGCATAATAACGCTGTGATATTCCATGCTGATTACTGGAAAGATGTTTCTAAGGATGCTCGTAGATTTATTGTCAAAGCATTACAGTATAATCCCGACAACAGACCCACGGCCACCGAATTATTGAATCACCCATGGCTCGTATCTATTGCTAAGAAACACACTGATGCCGACTTGTTGCCACAATTGAAGGAACGTTTCGATGCCAAGGCCAAATTTAGACAAGCCATTGAACTTGTTAAATTGCACAATAGGATCAATAAATTGAAAGCAATGCAAACCGAAGAAGATGATGATCCAACAGAAATCAACATGTTTAACTCGAACGGGGATGTGCTGGATGATGATCTGACGAAAAAGTCAGATCACTCAGCGCCATCATCGACTCAAGGCTCTGCTTTGAATAATTGGAAGAAGTTTAATGATTCGTTGAAGGCTACAGACGCAGATTCAATTCATACAAAGTCATCGTTGACTGATACGACTCCTAAACAGAAGGGACTTGAGCCAAAGACAACCGCTGCAGGTGATGCATTTGTGCAGTTGGTCCATGCTGCTTCAAAGAATAAAGAGAGGGTGGAAAGTTATAAGGACAAACAGTAAATGTGTATGTAGTGTATGCTTTTTTAATTAACGTGAAAATAGTACTATAAGGTAAACATTTGGGTGGGAGCTACGAGAAGATTATACTAGTCTGTTGTATTTTTCTTCCACTTTACTTCTCAAGAGCAGCTACAACAGCATGAGTAGCGTGAGTAGCGTGAGTAGCGTGAGTCGAGTGTGACTGAGTGAGTGCTGAAAAAAAAATATAAAAATCTTTACGCAGGAGCTATCATTGAAGAAGAAAGAAAAGACATACATCAAACCATTGACAAAAGCTTACACGGACAACTGATTCAAAACTATCCTCAGCTAGATACGTGAATGAATGGAAATACAAAGAATAGCAACTATGCCCCACCCTTGTTTCTCGATGTCGAGGATAAGACCGAGGAGGCGTTGACAAAGTTTCAGAGCTTGCAAATTTCAACATACCAACTGAAACTGATTGCCGCACCGTCGAATAATAAGCATCCCGAGTACATGACATGTGACTGTGAAGAAGATTGGGACGGCGAGCAAGAAATGAATTTGGCGTGTGGTGAAGACTCCAACTGTATAAATAGACTCACTTCAGTTGAATGTACTAACCGACATTGCCTGTGTGGAGATGATTGTCAAAACCAACGATTTCAGAAACGGCAATATGCCAATGTATCTGTTTTTCAAACAGAGCTCAAGGGGTATGGATTGAAGGCTAATGCAGCCATCTCTGAAGGACAGTTTATTTATGAATACATTGGAGAAGTTATTGATGAAGGATCATTTCGGAAACGGATGGTTGAGTATGACGTGAAAAACTACAAGCATTTTTATTTTATGATGTTGAAGCCCGATGCATTTATCGATGCCACTGAAAAGGGTTCACTTGCTCGGTTTGTTAACCATTCATGCAACCCAAATGCATTTGTCGACAAGTGGGTCGTTGGTGATAAATTACGTATGGGAATATTTGCCAAGAGACGGATTGCCAAAGGTGAGGAAATTACATTTGATTATAATGTAGATAGATATGGGGCTCAATCACAGCCATGTTATTGTGGCGAGCCCAATTGTATTAAGTTTATGGGTGGCAAAAAGCAAACTGATGCCGCATTACTATTACCCGAGGGAATTGCTGAGGCACTTGGCGTTACTTCAAGGGTGGAGAAGGCATGGTTGAAGGAGAATAAGCATTTGCGCAGCGACCAACAGAAAGATGACTCAACGATCAATGAAATGTTTGTCCAGAGTTTGGAAGTCGAACCTATGCAAGATGCCGATGCGTCTAAAGTCATGGCGGCTTTGCTCAAGTCGCAGCAACTGCTGATTATTAGCAAGTTGATTATGAGAATGCACATGACAGATGATCCAGTCGTTAACTCTTTGATGGTGAAATTGCATGGGTACAAGACATTATCAGGTGTTCTACAAAGTGCTGAAGATGAAGTTTTGATTAAAATGATTTTGGAGATTTTATCCAAGTGGCCAGCAATGACCAAGAATAAAATCTCGTCATCGCAAATTGAAGATGTTGTAAAGGAGATTAAAGCTAATTCAAGCAATGATGATATCAAACAACTAGCTTCAGACTTGTTATCACAGTGGTCTGTTTTGGAAATGGCGTATCGTATTCCTAAAATGCCAACATCTGACAAGTCATTGATGGAATCATATGGGAGGGTTTCTAGATCTCCCGAGCACCTGAATGATAATACATCTGGTGCTGCTGCGAATTTTGATCAATTGGCAGAAATTACATCACAGCTGTATTCAGCACCGGTAGGATCAATACCAGTGCCGTCAATTTCAGATCCTAATTTTGGTTTACCTCCAAATTGGCAATCTCAATTTGACCAAAACACTCAGAAATATTATTATTACAACGTATTAACGCGAGAGACTACATGGGACAAACCTGGTGTGACCATACCTACGCGACCTAAACTTCCTACTGGACCCAGCAGCATGATTAATCAACAACCACATACGCCCCACCCAAACCATCAGTACAATTCACAACCACGCACTAACAACAACAATAACAACAATAGCATTGAAGAGGAGATTGCTAGACGTGAAGAAGAGAGGGAAAAACGAGAGAGGGAAGCACGGGCACAAGAGTTGGTGGAGAAGGAGCGTAAATTGAGAGAATTGATTGAGCAAGCAAAGCCAGTCAGGGCCACCCCGGAGCCAGATAAGAAATCCAGACATAAACACATGCATAGACATGAGTTGAGAAAATCTAAACCTGAATTCGATGGTGGTGAAGCTCGTGCTGGTAAAGAGCACAAACACAAACACTCATCACATCATCACAAGAAAAAGAAGGAAAGTAAAGAGTCATCGCTCGAGTCGCAATGGAAACACGTCATGGCTAAACATGTGCCTAATTTACTTAAATCATACGTTGACGAAATAGGCAAAGATAATGTCAAAGGATGTGCCAAGGAAATTGTCAATACTTTGGCTGCACGGGAATCAAGCAGGGGGGCAGCACCATCATCGACTACGGAGTTGGATAAACATAAATTGAAGAAGTTGAAGGAGTATTCTGATACTTATATGGCGAAATTCTTGACTAAATACCGCAGCAAGCATTTGCACGGAAAGAGGAAATTGTACGACGATCATGATGATTCAGCGGAGGTGGGGGTGAGTGAGACAGTTAGTCCGTCTACCAGTGATACTCCCAATGGTACAGGAGAAGACAATAAGAAAATCAAGATTTGAAAATAAGGGTTTGGGTGGATATGGAAAAGAGCGGTATTGAGAGTTGTAAATTCAATGTCCAAAATGAAAAAAAGAAAAGCATGCACCTACATCAATGAGGTTAATTTGTAATATCTCTCTTATCTATTTGATTTTATGTAATGGTAATGTACAAAAAAATTTCCAGTCTATAATAAAACAGGAGCCTATTAATTCTAATGATGGATATAGGGACCCCCGAAAAAGAAAATAAATAACAAAAAAAAAGAATAGAACAGACAATCACAAGATCATCCTCCCGGTGTGATCTATTATACAAGGCATTATGATGATTATATTGATGTTAGATGGTGGATGATGAATGATGTATGATGTATGATGTATGATACAATTGGTGCCTCATTTAATCGGAATTCAACAAATGAGGCAAGTTTTCAATAGATTCAGATCCATAAATGATTTGATAAGTAGCTTCAAAAAGAGGGAAATCATCCAATTTATCAACATTAACCAACAACTCATGCACTTCTTTAGCAGTTACAATACCCTGTGAACTCTGTCCATTCAACAATTTCTTTTCAGCAGCTTCGGCCGATGCACCAGTCTGGGCCATGTATCTACCAACTTTAACATTTCTACCACCAGAGCATGTAGTAATTAAATCAGCAACACCAGCTGATTCAGCCGTAAATGTAGATGCTTTCGATTCGGGGAAAAACATTTCTGAAAACTTGATGGTTTCTAATAATCCAACTCTCATGATGGCTGCTTTGGCATTATCACCCCATCCTAAACCCTCAACAAATCCAACAGCCAAAGCAACCACGTTCTTCAAAGCACCGGCAACCGAAACACCAGCCACGTCTTCAATAACATTGACGTGGAAATAAGGTCTATGGAAAGCCGCCTTCAAGACGTATTCATCAATGTCCTTACCAGGGCCACGGTAGTCGTTGGGTAAAGTGTAGGCAATAGTGGTTTCGGACCATTTACCTCTAGCAACTTCAGGGGCCAAGTTGGCTCCTGATAAAGCACCACATACAATGCCCAACTCTTCAGTGATGTAGGTACTGAGTAATTTACAACCTTCCTTGTTGACTTCTAATCCTTTCAAACAGGAAATGGCTCTAGCGGTTGGTGGTACATTGCCTTTCAATTGTTTCAAGATTTTAGGCAAGAATTGATGAGGCAAGTTAAACACAATCAAATCGGCACCTTCAACCGTCTTTAATAAATCGGGCTCAGCAACCAAGTTTGAAGGTAATTTGACACCTGGCAAGTATTTGATATTGACATTTTGGATATTTATAATATCAGTCAAGTTCTTACCATCGATTTGTTCTTGAAATACCCACATTTTAACATAGTGGCTAAACAAGTGAGGTCTAGAAAGAGCATTTTCAGCCAAAACTTTAGCTATGGTGGTACCCCAGTTTCCTGATCCAATAACAGCAATCTTGAAAGGGTGGTCAGGAGTGAGTGATTGGTGGGAGTTGGGGGCCTTGGTAGGGCTTATGATGTTGGCAACCTGCGATAATCTAGATTGAGCGGATGATGACGACATTGTTCTTGTGGGTTGTTTATTTGAGTGGATAGTTCTGAAGTGGAGTAATAGTGGAGATGGTGGTGAAGGTGGTGGTGTGGGTAGTCTAATTGATAGTCTACTGAGTAGTTTAAACAATGTTAAAAAAATGAAAAATGTGGTTTAATTTGGGAAATTGAAATGTGGGAAAAATGTGATTGTATTTATATACGTATATACTAGTGTTTATTCTTCCGTGGTCTAAGTTAGTTTACTCTATTGTGTTTTTGAGGAAATCTCTTGCAGTTGGTTAATCAGTAGTAGTAAGTCTATTGTATTGTGATAAAAATTTCTATCGGGTATATACTGGAAGAGAAAGAAAAAAAAAAGAAATTTTTTATTCAAATTATGCCAAAGTAGTATTACCTTTTTCAGGCGTTTAAATTTTATTTAACTTTTCAAAGACTTTAAAAAAATTAAAATTTAAAAATCTGTTGGGCTGGCTTTTGGGCTTTTGGTTTGGTTTCAACTCCACATTTCAAATGATTGCTATATGAGTAATACGATTAGATTAGAGATATTGATAACTTATTCAAACGTTGTATGAGAAAAAAAAAAGATGAAAAGAAAAAACCGAGGGGTAGCAATCGTAATTCCAACAGGCAAAAACACCCTAATCCTTCTCTCCCTTAACTCCCTCCACCTATTGTTCTTATGCTTTGAGAAAGAGAGAGAGAGAGAGAGAGAGAGAGAGGAGTCTTCACTAACTAGCATTCTATTCGGAAGACTAAAAACTACTACTGCGAAATCTTTATATCTGGACAATCTTTGTGTTATAAAGTCTGTCTTATTATTTTTAAATAAACCGTTACAAACAAATAAAGAGTCAGTAAAAGAGAAAAGAAAATTATGAAGTCATTATGCAGGTAAAAAGAAAAGAAAATAGAGGACTTATGTCAACCGAGGATGAAAATATTATCTATTTATGTAAGTAGGAGTTAGAAAAATCTAATGCACAAGATTTTGGTCTTACGCAACAACCTAACTGACTCATCCAACCCAAATATGCATTAGAATAAACACACGGCCATGCTATTTCCATTGCAGTATACTATTGTAACCCATGCACATGCATTATCACCGTAGAGGCATCTGCTTTCGTCGTCGGAAATGAGTCCTCAGTGCATAAGTCACATGTATGTATTGATGCTTTGATGACCGTCTCGGCAACCGAGAACAGAAAAAGAATACAAGAACCACAATAGAGAACCGGCAAATTCCAACTGAATTTTGTCCTTGTCCTTATCCTGTCTGCTTCGACCTGAGTCAAAAAATTACTTGGGTGTCTTTTCCCTCGACCCGCTCGTGCGACAATAAAAACAAAAAAAAGACTTTCACAAAAGGCATACAATTTTCTTTTTACCGATATGACTCCATCATCCGCATACAACCACTCACTACTCCAACCTCGTTGATTCGCCTTACCTGCAATAAATCAAAAAAGGTACGCCATTCTTTTACCCAATGGTCACTTGCTTCAATCCCTTCAAGTTAGCATCGGAAAAAAATCAATAACAATTCTGGAGAATAAAATAGTAAACTATGCATCACAGCATATGAAAAAAAAAAATTATTCCGAACGCGCCTTCCTCCTCCTTTGATCCGAGGTGCAAAAATAAAAGGATTCAACTTGTTTGACGTCATTTACGCTTTTTGTTCCCCCATATGCTTTTTCCTTGTCTTTGTCACATTACCGTTGTGAGTTTCTACTAAATGGGGTAAGTGGGGCCATACCCAAAAACAATAAAACAACCAACGAACTAAAACACAAACAAATGCAAAAATAAAAAGAATAAGAAGCTCATTTAAAATGAGGAATACATATATATATATATATATATCCACTTATGTATAATAGTACAAAAACCTCTTCTCCATTAGTGTGAAATCAGCAGTCAAGCAATTGTTGCAAAAAGAAAAGAAAAACTAAGCCAAACAGACAGACAAGTAAAGAAGATTGTAACTGTTTTAAACCTTCCAATCACCCTTTTGGTAACCAAATGTAGGAAACTTTGGTTTCTTGTCATCATCATCTTCATTATTGTCATTATCAGCATTGGTTTTCTTGCGTTTACTTGTCTTTTGTTCCCTCTTACTACTGCCACCAGCAAGACGGTCTATATCTCCATTACTCTCTTCTCCTTCATCATCGTCATCATCCTCTTCTTCTTCTTCTTCGTCTTCTTCATCGTCCTCTTCTTCTTCATCATCGTCTTCTCCCCCCTCGCCATTGTTACCACCAGTGCTACCACCAGTACTCAAAAATGCCAAGTTATCAATGTATAATTTCTTTGTTGCATTTCGTTTACACGTCAACGTTCCAATATGTCTCTTTAACGCATCTTTTCTGGCAAAGCCTTTACCACAGTATTCACAGATGTTTGCCGGTATACTGAGATGTTGCTTTGCGTGTCGTTTCAAATCCGAAGATCGACGAAATGTCATTGAACATTTATCACAAAGAAATTTACGAGCTTGATCTTTGAATGATGATGAGGGTGTTGCTTTCTTGGTCGTTTTCGTTTTCAATTTAGTCGTTGTTGCTGTGTCTGTTGCTCCTGTTGAGGTTATTGCTGAGAACGAAGCTGCTGATCGTTTCCTCAGCTGTAATGCTTGGTGGGTTGCAGAAGTAGTCAACGGCATCGCATCAATCGGCAGTGGGGTGTCATTAAGCAAAGATGTGATGGACGAAGCACGGCCAGCTGGTCTACCAGCAGCAGCACCATGCAAGTAATTCTTATTCTCGCGTTCTCGTTCAGCATCACTCTTCAATTGTAACGGTTCGCCAATTAAAAAGTTCCATCCCAGCTCATTACCAGCTGGATTATACCTACTACTTGAAACTCCTCCTCCGCGACCATGACGACTGTCGCTGGCGATGCCAACGCCAGCACGTTTAGCATCATCAGTAGCAGTACTACTGTTGTTATCACCTCTATTGCCAGCAAATATATTGTTACTTAAATTAGGAAACAGCTGGTAAAACCCTTGTATATTCAATTGTCCTGAATCATTAGCTTCCAACCCTTCCAGTTTAGAAATTGGGTTTCCATGCGGTGAAGAAGCGTATTGCAATCTCGTTAATAAATCCAGTATTGTCGGGTCAACAACTTCTCGACTACTTTGATTGATTCCTTGAGCAGTGGCAACCAAAGCATCTCGAGCCAATCTCAAAAACCGTTGATCTTCATTCTCATTCTCAGGCGTCTTTTCTTTTTTAATAGCTGAAATGTTGGTGTTGCTGGTGGTGTTGCTGATGGCAGTGGATTTAGTTGCCGCATTTAGTGTATTTGATCGTCTTGTATAACTGATATTTGGTTGTAGTGTGGTAGATGTAGGCAACGGCGACGTAGGTAATGGAGACCCATGCGAATTACCAAATAGATAATCTTCTGTTTTCAACTTTTTTGTTGCTGGCGATGATACATTGTTGCTACTATTATTGCCGCTGTTACTTCTATTATTAGTATTTGATTGTGAAGATGTGCTAGGGTACAACGGACTTGCAGGGTTCGGTGAAAACATAGTATAACTCATTCTTCGTTTGAATTGTTGGTTGTGGTCTTGATTCGATTGATATACACGCGAAAAGTTTGGTGACTGTATAGGCGACTGAGATAGATGTTGTCTAACAAATGGAGCACCTAGTTGTGGATGCAGGTGTTGTGACTGTGGTTGTTGTTGTCGAGATAAAAGTGACTCAGGATATCGTGGCGACAGTCGTTGATGCGGCTTTTGAGTTGTACGTAATTGCTGATTATTGATTAGACTAGGAGCAGTCTGCGATGGTAATACTAATGGAACCGTAAATGATGATTCAGTATTATCCCCTCGAGAAGACGGTAACACAAGTGTTTGTCGGCGTCTTGGATAACTGTTTAATCGCTGTAGCGGTGCTCGTTGAGGCTGCTGTGGTTGCTGTGGTTGCTGTGGTTGCTGTGGTTGCTGTGGTTGCTGTGGTTGCTGTTGTTGCTGCTGTTGATCTTGATAATAGTTAGTATCACTATTGTCCAGTTGTTGTTGACTATTCATATAAGCATCGATGCCACTCCCAAACTTTTTTGGTTCTAATACTGTGGTTACTCTAGTGAATTAATAAAATGCAATGGTGTTCTCAAAAACAAAACCTGATATGAGTTCGACTCACACTTTGACACAGGGTACGTTTCGCTCCCTTTATATGTTATAATCATATATTGAAACTCCATAATTTTGATCGTTTAAAAAAAATTGCTTGGTGACTAGAGCCACAGTTTGACGTGATTCTCTTTTGTGTGTGCTAAACTCCATCTTGCACAACATATCCCCCACTTCAATTTTTGCATCCATACTGCGACATGGCTCAACTACGTATATGTGGATCTTTGTTATATCACACACATATCTCGAGACACTTGGCCGTCACTAGAGAGGTTATTTGATTCCCAATGGCTAGAGTTGATTAAATTAGTGAAAAAAAATTTTCATTTTCTCAACTTAAGTATGGTGAGCATTTGCCACTCTTGGAGTGATGTTATATGATAAGTCAGTTTAGTTGGAAGATACATACTAGGAGAAGGCTAGTGTTGGTGGTTGGTAGTAAAAGATTGTAGTTTTGCCACTAAGTTCTAGATCTCATGAGTCCAATAGTAGCGTTTAAACTTAAATATGTTAAAATAAAAAGTGTGGTTCACTTTTTTTTTATTTTTTTTTCTTGTTGTTCTTCTTTAATTTGACACATAATTAAAATTATTGTTAAATTAATTACTTTTACCTTAAATCCTATTGAAGAGTTACGCGTCTTGAAATGATGTAGGTGAATATTTACACCTATTCCACTTCACTTCCAGTTGTGGAAGTGTACGTACAACCACGTCACTGAGCTTTTTCTTCTAATTTGTCAGACACATCGTACTCAAAAATACGCGTATTGCAAAGTAATTTATCATCAAGAATTTTCAAATTTATTTCTTGCACGTGACATATTGTTTTTCTAAAAACAGCAAACGCTCCTTAACCCAACACTATTGTTTGTGTATATATCAATTACACATATCTGTAATTGATAAGCCTCGTGCTTTAATGCTACGGTATATGTAAGGAAGGTTTTTCTTCTTTTCTCGTACTATTGTTTTGAATGGGACATGATCTACATATTATGCATATGTACATGTGGCGAATGGCTCAAGGAAGTAGAACAGGAGAGAAAAAAACAGCTATGGATGTAAACTGACACACAAAGTATGATCAGGGTTCAAACTAGGACTTTGCTACCCTTAAGTACAGTCGTTTGTCTTCATGAAATAGTAAAACAAGCGATTCATGTGCAATTCATGTGCCCTTTTCAACTGTTACAAAAGCCCAAAGTATCAGTAATAAACAGTACATATACATAATACACACATAATGCACACATAATGCACCTGCTGTGCACACTTCCTCATATCCTTGCTGAAGGACGTAATCAGAAAATGTGCGGATTACATCTACTTTAATGTTTTCTTTTATTTGATTTCCCATGTTGAGCATTTTTAAGCCAATTTAGAGCCAATTTTGTAAATTTTTTCATTCAAGTAAACTTAGTCTTTTTCGAATATTTTAGGAGCTTCAAAGCTTTAATACGATTGCCTTTAAAAATGAAAAGGAGAATAGAATCCAAAAACATTCTTTTTCTCCATCACATAAGGAAATTAAAGTAATTTACGTTAACCGCGGTGTCAGATCAAACTTTTGTTAAATGAACACCAAAAATAGAAAGAGAAAGAGAAAGACAAAGAGAAAAAGAAAAATAAATTTTAAATTTCCTTCGTTGCGCTTTTTGTGCGGCACAACAGAAGAAGAAAAAGAAGCAGCAGCAGCAACAACAGCATCGAAGGACCCGACAAAACGAAAAGAAAAAAAAAAAAAATTCTTCAAAACCTCTTTCTTCACTAAAAAGAGTCATACATTGGAACAAGACTCTCTTAAGTAGCAACATCACATTCTAAGCTCATCTACTTTTGAATTGGAAAACTCAAACCCTCAAAAAAAAAATGCTAAGTCTAATTATCACCAATATGGTGCACCCCAACAACCTTCACAACAACAGCCAACTCCGAGCCCAAATCAGCGGCGTCATGGGCTCAACATCACTTGCATGCTGGATAGTCTTACTCATGCCCCAACTAATTGAGCAATGGCGATTGAAGTCAGCCGAGGGGATAGCTATTGGGTTCATCACCATTTGGTTCTGTGGTGATTTGTTTAATTTGGTGGGTGCTATATGGGCTCATTTGTTACCTGAAGTTGTGTTTCTTGCTGTTTGGTTTTGTGTTGCTGATGCGTTGATGATTGCTTCCTATGTTTATTATACCAGGTTTTATAAAAAGAAGAAACATCATCATCATCATTATCACCACCACCAACAGGACCATCATGCCGTTGAAGGTCATGCCGAGCATGAGCATGAGCATGGACAAGGTGAACGTGAATACATTGATGAGTCAGCTCCCTTGCTTCATAGAAGAAGAAGTTCAACCTTGACTGATATTGCATTGGAACCTCAATACCATTCCATTTTTGTGAAATACATCTTGCCCATCATATTTGTCGTTGGCTGTGGAATAGCTGGGTTCTTACTCTCGTCTCCAGAACCACAACCACAACCACCATCAGATCCATCAAACCCCATAGACCCTCCCCCACAAGACGACATCATCGCCCTCGGCCCGCAAATCATGGGATACTGTTCAGCCCTACTCTACTTGGGTGCACGAATCCCACAAATTATTCAGAACTATCAACGCAAATCAGTTTATGGACTTAGTTTACTTTTTTTCCTTTTTTCAACATTAGGTAATTTGACTTATGCCGGACAAATTATCTTTTATAGAAGCGATTGGAATTATATTGTGTTGAACATGAGTTGGTTATTGGGCAGTTTGGGAACCATTGTGGAAGATGTGGTTATTTTTGCTCAGTTTTATATATATAAGGACAATAACGACTCGATAGAGGATGAAGAGAGGGCTTAGTGCATTGAAGTGTGTTTTATACAGATAGTTCTTTTCTTTTTTAATATTTTTTTAGTTTTTTTTGTATGGTTCTCTTTCTTTTTTACTAAATCTGCCTTTTCTTCCTTTTTTTGACTGGTTAATGGAGTTATCTTCTTAAACAAAAGTCAAAAGATGTAAGACTAGATTATCAATTAATAAAATAAATCCAAAATAATAAACATAGTATATATAACATTCAACACTTTATAAAACTAATTAATAAAACTATCGCTCTAAATAAAATAAAACTAAAAAAATTAAATTGTCCCGAAATAAAAATTACTCTTTTTCCCAAAAAATACATTTGATATATCTAAAAATTAAAAATACTCCCTTTAAATGCTTTGATGATTTGCCAGTCCTTTATCTGATTCTTATACTCTTCACCTTTTGCCTGTTGTCCCATTTGTATCTTATCCTTTATTTATTTATTTATTTTATTTTTTTTTTTTTTTTCCCAATGCTAATCTCTGATATCCAATCGATAAAATAAAAAAAACAATTACCCTTTAATATGAACTAAAACCAAAAAATGTAAATGCACTTTAACACAGTAGCATCACCAAACTTAAAGATACTTTTCAAACAAGTCATCTTCCAACCATCCAACTTTTTCAAATGCAGCATACAACCTCGATGCCTTATTGACATCAATTCTACATGCCTTTTGTGCATCAGTTCTCCTAAAAGTCTTGCCCAGTTTAATCTTGTTGACTTTTTCAAAAAAGAATCGTCTTTTAGAATCCATGTATACAGCAATTGGTAATCGCAATATGCTAGCAAGGACAATTTCCCCAGGGTGCAAGTTGGGGTATTTCGACAAATTTGGATCTTGAGATAAATCCATGGGTTGGCCCTTCCATTCAATCTTAAGACATTTGGAGTTGTTGGGTGGCAATGTAGTGGATGCATCGGGCGAAAAGTCCGGTATTGATTCGTCAATTAGCATTTGTTGTTGTACTGCAATTGGAATTGGAGTGCTGCTGCCGCTATTGGTGTTGGTTGGCGCATTTGGTCTGCGCCTCTTCTTAGGTGACGGCGATGGTAATACTGATGAAGAGTCGAAATCACTATCTTCATAGGATTTAGGCACCCTTCTGGTACGTGTTCCTCTAGTTGTTGCTGTGGTGTTGTTGTTGTTGTCTTCTGTTAATTCGTCATTTGAGTCATAATTGAATCTCTTCTTGTACTTGCGAGTTGGTAAGGATGCAATGTAGTTTTTGTTTTCAATTGATGCATTGGTTGTATACTTGTCCAAGAATTCAAATTGATGATTATAGTACTTCTTGGTTGGTTTGATGTTGACGGTGAGAATATAGTCCTTGAAGTTTTCCAACTTGAATTCCTTGCCATTGTTGAGAAACGATGGCTTTGGTTGTGCTTGCTGTATTGGTTGTTGTGCCTCCTGTTTTTCCTCCACTTCATTCTTGGTCTGGTTATTGATCAATTGTGGTAAATGAACTGGCTTATTCAATGGATTCAATTCAGCGTTTCTTTGGTATGGTGACAATGGTGGAGACAAAGGTTGAGAAGTAGATGAAGATGAAGGAGTTGTTGCTGTTGTAGAGTTGACAGTGGAAGTACTTGATTTGTTATTGTTGTTGTTGTTGTTGTTGTTGTTGTGGTTGTGGTTGTGGTTGTGGTGGTTATGGTTGGAAGGTAAGTGAGGCCCAAAATACTCCATTGGTTCATGTACATTGATATGTACTGAAGAAGGTGTAGACATCAATCCTTTTGGTACTTTATCGCTATTTCTGTTGCTGTCGCTCCTATCGTGTGATTCTTTTGACGATGGCATTTTATCTTCGAAGTTGTTGGGAGTAGGACAATTGGGTATAATACTACCATTGATATGGTGATTGTTATCGTTTGAAGTCATTGGGTAGTAGTAAAATGACATTATTAATAGTAAAGCTATATCTAATTGAATATGATTGTAGAAAGAAAGAAAGAAAGAAAGAAAGATGGGGGAAGCAGGTAAGAATTTTTTTTTGATATCTTTTGGTTTCTAGTTTGTATTTATTTATTTGATGTTTCATTATTAAACGCCAGATACCTATTTGTTATGATATATATGTGTTTTATTACTATGATTATATTTTTATTTATTTTTTTTTTATTTTTATTCTTTTTTGTTTACTTTCTTTTTGTTCTTTGTGTTAGTTAAATTGTTAGGGTCATCATAGTATATATGCAGTATCTATTATGTATCACGGTTTTGTTTCTTTTTTGGAAGAGCAATAAAAAGAAATTTAACTTAAATCTTTTACTTTTTACAACAATGGAAATATGCAGAGAGGGTTAATTGATAAAAAAATTTTCTTTCGCTTTTTTAGAATTTCTTTTTTTTTTTCATTGCCTTAAAAGATGGGTTAATCCGAGGGTGTATATGGTATGCTAGTGGAGAAAGAGTAAGTTGTGGTCTTATCGAAGTAACTCAGCATGTAAGTGGGGTCAAGTGTGTGATTAATTGTTGGCTGATATTCCCACTAACTGTAGCGATAAGAAAAAAGAATAGAAAATATTTTTTTTTTTAACTTCACATTCTTTATCGCGTAGGAAAATTTTTTTTTTTGTTTTTCTTCTTTTATTTCTTCCTTTTGTTTTTAATTTCTCAAATAAGCATAAGAAAGTAGAAAAAGAAATTTAACCAAATCGACCGTGTGGCATCCTAACAGCAGTAGTTTAAGATGAATAAAGAAAAAGAAATCAGACACGACATGGAATGGAATATATGTATGTGTGGGTGCCATGCTAAAACTAAAAATAAAATAGTTTCATATGGGGGCGGTGGTAGGTACTGCGCTGAGCTGCGATGTGTTGGGTAATGTTGCAATTTGTTTTCGTTCCGAAAATGTTTTATGTATAGTAACAACAAAGTAGTCGAAGGGTGTAGAGTATACTAGAATGATATAGAACATCGCAGCACAATTGCTTTTTCTATTCATGGGCAAGTCATGGCTGGTTGGATTAGATGAGATGACCTTGAAAAGAAATGACAATATATATATATCTGAGACTAAAAAAGTGTATATGCAGGCTAAGAAAGTATCGTGCATATATATTGCTGCAGTATTACAATGCAAGAGCTGATTGCCTGAAATAGGCAAAATGCAGTTATGAGATATAACCTCTCATATACAAACGTTATCTCCGTATTCTGATTTGTAATACCTTGCCTCCTATGACCAAGTCAATTGCTTCAGCTGTAGATGTGTCATATATATGTATTGTGCAAACTGCTATAATACATAGCCAATTAAGGCCCTTCAATTCAGTGAATCAGTCATTTCAAATGTATAGCGCATGACACAAGATTAGTGTCAGGCACTTTTGTGTCCGTTATTTGCTATAATGACAGACAGTCAGTCAGTCACAAAAGAAAAAAAGAAATTTAATTATTTGTATTATTTGGTCGTGTGGTTATTTGTTATCTTTTTTTTTTGTAGAGGTGGGGTAGATTTACAGAGGGGCAAAACAAAAATAAAAATTATATTATGTTTTTTTTTTCCAGGAGTATAGAATACATCTTAGTTTATACGAAAGATTCAATTAGACATGCCATTGACAGACTTAGTATTATAATCATCAACTTTTGCCCACTCAATTGCAAAAGCTGACTAATCCAATTGAATTTTTACATCAGTCAGTGAAAAGAGTCAAAAAAAAGAAAGACGAAATAGAAATAGAACGATATTAGTAATGACGCATTATTTCTTTGTGTAGATACTGCATATTAACAATTTTCTTTATACTATCTTAAACACAAAAAAAAAGAAAGAAAATTCTTTATTACATTTTACTATTTGATGATTGGTTAGTAACCAACTCATGCGGTGTATTGAATAACCGATAGATGCAATTATGTAATCAAATACGATTTCTACTAACCATCCAAAACCCCAAAACCCCAAATCTACCTCGCTAATAATGACCTTGGCGTTTTCCACCTCTGGTCGCAAGTTAGTAGCGTACGATTTGAAGAAGAAGTATTCCTTTTGTATAATTGCAGAAACGGTAAATGAATTGGTGTTTCTATTTGCATGCTAGATAGTATGAGTGGTGACAGGGAGGGGTAGCAACCACCCTTCTACTAGCCTTTTGATGATGTCAATGAGCTATTTGCCGAAATAGAATTCTTGTTTTATGTAGCCGCTGTTGTAAACACCGTTCTTATTTACCCAATTGGGATATCTTATTTAATGTAAGTACAAAAAGATTCTACGACACTAAAGTTTCTACGACAATAAATTTTGTGACTTCATCTGAAAAAAGGTGTGTACCTCTACCAAAAATGTACTGTATTTTCTTTTTTCGTGAAGCATCAACTATAACCATCAGCTATCTGCTTCTCCAGTCTTACCACATAGGGTATGCTAAGGAAAATGATTGACTATACTAATAAAGTATGTCTTGCGCCTATGGTTAGAAGTGGTGAACTTCCGATACGACTCCTATCGCTTAAATATGGTTGTGATTTAGTTTGGTCACCAGAATTGATTGATAAAAAATTGATCTCAACTACTCGTGTTGAAAATACCCACTTGGGAACTATTGACTACATTGCTAAAAACAACAACCACAATAGCAAGAAGTCTTCTAATCACGAGACTGTTGTATTTCGCAAACACCCTAATGAAACGGGGAAATTAATATTACAATTGGGTACATCTGATCCTGATCTAGCTGTCGAAGCAGCAGCAAAAGTGGTTCAGGACGTTGATGGCATAGACTTAAACTGCGGTTGCCCTAAATCGTTCTCTACTCATTCAGGCATGGGTGCCGAACTTTTAAAAACTCCCGATCTCCTATGTTCAATCTTGACTAATTTGGTCACTAAAGTGGGCAAACCAAATAATAAGCCAATCAGCTGTAAAATTCGATTATTGCCCAATTACGAAGCATCGCATTCCCTAGTTAAACAAATCTGTGAAAGTACCGGTATTGCAAATTTAACCATTCATTGCCGGACCCCTATTATGAGAAATCGACAAGATCCAATTTGGAATTATTTACCAAAATTAATTCCATTAATACAATCATATGGAATTAGTGTGGTTCTTAATGGGAATTTCCAATCGCGATTGGATTTAACCACAGTTCAACAAGCTTTACATAATGACAAGTTGAGTATCATGATTGCCGAAGCCGCCGAGTCTAACCCATCAGTATTTGTCCCATTTGGTGGCAATCAATCAGCGCAATCGCAAAACCAATTGATTAATGAAATATATGCAATCGGATTGAAATATCATTTGTACTCAGGTACAAAATTCATGATTATGAATCTCATCCCCGGTAAATCGAAATATTATCAAAAATTCTCACAACTGAAGAATTTCGAACAAATGAAGAGTATACTCGAAGAATTAAATAATGATGCCGATAAATCAGACAAGATTTTTCAAATTATGAATAAAAATTGCCAAAAACTGGTATTTTGGCAAGACGCCAAGGCATTTGAACAGCAAATAACTGGCCCAAGACGCGATGAAGTATTGCAGTTTTTCAACCAATGGGAAGAAAGTGAAATGTTGAAGGATTTGAATGATTCGCCAACAAAGAGAACGATGGATATACCAAAACATAAAGTCAAGCGACAAAAGAAACAACAAAATGATAAAGGACAAAGTGAAGAAAACGGAAGGCAGCTTGAACAAGCGGATGCAAAGCTTGAAGCTCAAGCTATAGCTAGTAATAGAGTCAATGAACAAAAAGTACAGCTTGTGTAAATTTTGTGGGATGTATATAGATATTAGGTTAAATTTTATAGAGTGATAGACACAACCGTTTAATTAAACACATTTGTTATAGAATTTCTACTATAGAACGACTAAAGCCAATAATACACATGTGCGCTTTCTTTGTGGGTTTTACAATATAATAATAACCCTTTATGTACAAAAAAACATCATTCTTTTCGTCGTTAGTATCACACTGCTAAATCTCCTCTGTATCTCCTTCTCCTTCTCTTTCTCCTTTACTTCACCATTTACTTCAATCCATGCTTAAGACCACACCATAATCCAGCAGCACCTGCCATCAACGCACTCGAATAAGCCATAGGTTTCAACCCTTTACTACTTCTAAACAATGCCCCAGCCAACGCACCAGCCACCACCGAATTCACATCATCGTGTTTACCCCTAACACCATCCAAAGTCGAGTCAATTAAATTATAGGTCAATGCTAACACACCGGCATTATTACCCAAGAATGGTCCTCTTTTGGTAATATTGTTCAAAATATGATTCAATTGAACTTTGCCCGGAGAATTTGCCGGTAAAGTTTTTACACCGTGCTGGAAACCCAGTAACCCACCTAATCCAAGACCAATGAGGTATACGGCACCAGTTCCATAACATAAATCATCGGTCCATGATCTGCTGGGGATTATACCTTGAGAACCTTCGACTTGGTTTAATTTTTCTTCTTCGAGGTCCAAGTATTCGATTCCTTTGTCTAATCCGGCTAATGGATGGAGCAATGATGCATATGAGGAGGTGGAAGTGTTATTAGATGCGTTGTTGTGGATTGAACCTGGGGTTGATATGATGGTTTGTACATCGGAGACTTCTTTTGGGTCGAATCCTAATCTTTCTTTAAGTGACTCATCATTTGAAGAAGCCTGTTGTTGCTGCTGTTGTTGTTGGGGCTTACCAAATATCCAAGACATATTGCTATGAGTTGTATGTATATGTATATGTATGGTCTTTTAAAAGATGTGATGGGTGAAGTTTAGATTTGGTTTTGATGATGTAATTGTGGAAAACTTTGCAAAATTATCTAACGTAGACAAGGTAATGTTACAAGCCAAAAATAGGGTGTCGTTTGATGATTTCCTGAATGCCAAATAAGTTTATAGAACTTCCAAGACAAGGATGTATATATATGTATAACAATAGCACTTAATAACCCGTTTGATTAATGAAATGCAAAAAAAAAAAAAAAATTTATTGAAGTTTGAAAAATTAAAATTAAAATTTTTCTCTCTGTCTCTCTCTCTCTGTGTTTGTTTGTTTGTTTGTCTCTCAGTCTCTTCTTTAAAAGAGTAACCGATCGGAATACAAAAATCAAACAAAAGACTTTGAACAAAAGGTTGCAAATTAAATATACATCATCCATCAGACATAAACACTCAATTGGTTTGGAGCATTGAATAGTAGAAGTAGGTAACTTCTAGTAGAGAGAAGACTATTTAAAAATTTTGTTTTACTCTTTATGGCTGGTTTGTATATATATATATATAACACCTCATTTTGACTCTACTGTTCCACAACTTTAAAAAAAGAAAGATTGCTGTTCTTTATAAAGAAGAGCAGCTACTGACTGATCAGTTTCCCATTTATGTTGAAAGTGCTAGTCAGCTCTAACTGGCGTTTCATTTACATTCATTGAGGTAGTCTTGTCGAGACCTGCATATAAGCAGGTGTGAGGAAATTACCAGACTTTTGAAGTACAATTCTTGCACTAGCATTCCCATTTAGATCAAATTATAGGAAAGAAATAAACTTGTAAACAGGCATACACTCTCCCAACCAGACACAATGACAGATACAAGCCCGTCGTTGGAACCCCCTCTGAATGCTGACAAACCCCATACATATGCAGAATCCCTCAGAAATTCAATGCCAGATCAACAACAATTACCAATTATAGAGTCGCAGATCCACCTAAATCTTGTCCCGCCATTGAACTTCTCGTTAGTTGAAGACGGCATTTATCGATCTGGGTTCCCCATGGAAATCAACTACCCTTTCCTCCAACAACTCAATCTCAAAACAATTATATATCTCGGCGATTTGGGCCACGAAACACTATCACCGTCATCATCCACCATCAAAAAGAAGAAGAAGAAGAAAAAGGATAAGGATGGCTCAACGGAAATATTCAACCAATATGTCAACTGGATCAACAATCAGAATGAAATCACATTTCACAATCTCCTAATTGAATCCTCACAAGAACCATTCAACAAATCACAAGAAAATGAACAGAGTTTGGCCAGTTTAACAACTGCATTGCATTTGATCTTGGATAAATCAAATTACCCCATCTTGGTTCATTCGAATAAAGGTAAGCATCGAACGGGGCTATTTATAGGATTGATGAGAAAATTACTTCAAGGATGGTGTCTTTCTGGTATATTTGAAGAATATGAAAAATTCGCCATGGGGAAATTTGAATATGATTTGGAATTGATTGAGATTTGGCAACCGGAATTGTTTATTGATGATGAAAAGAAACCAAACTTTATACGATTGTAAAGTGGCAGAAAATGGAAAACGGAAAATTGCACATTTTATGAAGACTATTTGTTGCAATACCGTTAAATTCGATTGCAGTCATAGGGTAGAATAGTGAAATTAGAAGTCTAATGCAACAAGGAGGGGTGTGTGTGTATGGGAGACCTCACATAACCTCATTATTACCCTGTACTACCATACACCAACAACATAGAGACTGCCTAGTTCTAGAATCGAAATAGCATCTACACTGCTTATAAATAAATAAAAACTCCATTTCAATACATAAATATATCCCAGCTAAGAGTTATTCTTCAATTCACGTAGCTTGTCCATCACCTCATCCGGATCACTCAAGCCAGTCTTTTCTTGCACTTGAGGATCCTGCAATCGCATAAACGGATTATACTGTAATTCATCACCAATGGTTGACTTTCCAGTAGTGTATTCATTCTCGCCACAAAACAGTTTCAACCTATCAATGGCCTCATTTTGCAAGATCTTGCTTGAGAATTTGACATTTGATTTAGTATATTCGTGACCTGGGTAGACTTTAGTATCTTTAGGTAAATTGGCCAATATTTTATTCAAAGCAACATTCATTTCAGCACCGGTGCCTTCAAAGAAACGACCACATCCACTAATGAATAACGTATCTCCTGTGAAAACTGCCTTTTCTCCAGTCTTGGCATCTTTGACATAATAACATATCGAGTCCTGAGTATGGCAAGGAGTATGTAAGGCAGTGATTGACAAATTATCTCCCAAGTCTATCACTTCTTCATGTGATGGTGTGTATGTCACCAATGGCGAATCTTTGCCAGCAATAATTGGCAAATCAGGATACTTTTTATGGAAAAATGGGTTACCATCAGAATGATCATAATGGTGATGAGTATTAACAATAGCCTTCAACTCATATTGTAGCCTTTTCGAATTGATATAAGATGTGACTTCTTCAGGAACTGCTGAATCTATTAACCAGGCATTTTTCGATTTATCGTCAATCAACAAGTAGGCATAATTATCTCCGTGGCCCCATCTCATAGGAATTGATTCAATATGCATTTTCCGTAATTGCTTAAAGTGATTGAGTAGTCTAGCAGCAGCAGCAGTAGTAGTAGTAGTAGTAGCAGTTGGAAAGGATCTGAGGATCATTCAGATGGAAAATAAAGACTCTTTGTTCAAAATGGAGGCAAAAATTAAATTCCCAATCTGAACAGAAAAATAAAATAAAAGAACAGTTAAGCATCTTGTGAACGTTGCGCAATTTTTCTTTTATTTTTTTTTTTTTTACCCCAATGTTCGGAGTTAAATTCTACGAACTACAACTCAGTTGTTAACAATATTACTCATTAGCAATAACTTTGTCAACTACACAGATACATAACCAGCATTGGATGCAGCACAGCTTCTAACTATACTCCCCACTTCTTTGCCTCCATTCCTTCCGGTGGCGATGTTTCAAACTCTTTATTTCGCGCCTCTTCCCAATTAGTCGTCAACACGGTACCATTACTCTGCACATAGGACTTCATCATGGCTCGTCTTGAATCTTCATCCATATCTTTAAACAAAGTTTGGAAAAAGTCCTTTTGTTCACCATCCTTATCATCATCTACTTTAAAATTATTCCAGTTGATCTTCTTCTTGGAGCTAGAAGGATAGGCAGTAGCATTAGGTTCTTCTTGAGTCGAGGCATCTTGCTCTTTTTCCAACGATGGCCATTTTCCCGATTCCTTCTTCCTCAATGTGATTTCCAACTTGGTTGAGTAAAGTTTGTATTTGGATTCTGCAGCGTCAATTTCGGCATATAATGGATCAAGGTTGTAATTGTATTCGGATCCAGTGGCACCAGGGAATGATATCGATACAGAGTTTTGCTCAAAGTGAACATCTAGTTTATCCTCCTTTACGTTTTTAGCGTAAATTGTAATGATAATCTCCTCATTAGTTTGATACCAATCATCTCTAATTTTGACATTTAAAGGAGCAATCTTGTTGATAACGTCGACATTTGTCGATCCCTTAGCATCATTTTCCCGCTGCTCCTTTGGTGGCTTCGTCTCGTCCTCGTCTACACTTAGCTCCTCAATTTTTGGCAAATCCTTCTTTTTCTCCTCAACCACATCCAGGTCTTGGGTTTGAAACACATCAACATCATCGTCACCATCGTCGCTTTCCTCAACATCCCACTCCGGGTGGTTTTTCAAGTCAAACTCACATTTATTCTTCCAAAACTCGATAGTGGACTCCTTGCAATCGTACTCTTGTGCTTTCTTAAATTGGGACAATGCCATCTTTATCTTCTTTTCCTGGTAATACACCAATGCCAACTTGAAATAGCACAACCCAATATCAGATCTTCTTCCTCTATCATTTGCAATTGTAAACGCAGTGGAAATATCTCCTTTAGCTTGATCCAAATTCTTCAACTTTTGATATGCTACTGATCGCTTAAGAAACGCTTGAAACGCTTGTGGGTTTTCTTTAATGGCTTGCGAAAACAATTGAATTGCACCTAGGTAATCCTTTGACTTGATTGCCTCATCACCCTCCTTAATTAATTTCTCAATAGCCATGGCTTCGGTACTGATAGTAGCTCTCGTGGTATACGTCTACTGGTTTCAAAAAAAAAAAAGCTTCTACAATATTCTGATTCAATTTCGCGCTATTTTTTTGCTGTTGTTGTTACCTTATATATATAACATCTACACAAACGGGTAAACTGCCTTTACCAAATCCTTGCTAAAAAGGCTAATTTCCCCTTTGCTTCCTTGCGTCTTTCAAAATTAGGCAACATTAACCAAAGTATTGTCATGGAAGTGTACAAGGCAATAAATACAGGCAAAACAACAAACGTGCCTACCTTTTCTGACAACAACCCCACAATGAATGGAAACAATGCCCCACCAGAAGACCCAAACGCAGTCATTATTGTCAATGACACCAACTGAATTTTTCTAGGAATTAAACCTTTTTGAGCACTGAATGTAACTAGTAAAGGATAGTTTGGACCTATAAAGACTCCGGCTATTGACACTAGTACGGCCTCGAGAACAAATAATGTGATTCCCCAGGTCAAGCCCACCAACACAATTGACAATACTGAAATCACAACAACCCCTCGCTTCAACCCGATGTATTTGTGAATTGGGCGAGTCAATATCAACCGTCCTAGTGTCAACCCAGCCCATAAGCCGGAAGCAACATAACCTGTTGTCTTCTCACTTGAGTGTCTATAGTCTAATAAGTAGGTCACAATCCATCCAGCCAAAGACACTTCTGCCCCTTGATAGAATAAACAAAAGAAAGCAATCAACCATGTGACATGGTTTTGCAAGGCCAAGATCATATCCAGAGGTGGCTTGGATGTAGCATTTGTAGTATCGCCTCTATCACCCAAATCCGACATTTCGATTCCCTGGGACACATCCTCATCATGATCCCACGGTTTCAAATCCTCGTCAGCATTCTCAAACGAGTAAAACAAATTGAGTGCAGTTATTATCATCATTCCAAGCAAGATCAAGTAAAAGTAATGCCATTTAATACCCCTGTTCACCATACTGGTGGCTATTAATGGTGCGACTGTGGCTCCAATACCATATCCACCATGATAGTACGACAAATACGTAGACTGTTTATCTAGCCGACTTAGAAAGATGTTACACTGTGCCGCGGCCATTGCAAATCCACAACCACCAAAAAAGAACCCAATAACAATAACGGGGAATACCGTGCCACTTGAAACCAAGGCATAGAAAATGCAACTGCACAAGTTCGCCACAGGGAAGCAATATCTCTTTCCCAACCACGGCTGGATTTTGTGAGACATGGAAGCCACCACTATAAAACCAATTGCGTTGCCGATCCAAATACAGGAGGTCACTGCGTAATTGATACCGTATGCAGCTTCAATGTAAGGCAATAAAGCACCAGGAGCAGCATCGCTGAATCCTCCAGTAAAATTAAACAAAACACACGAAAGTATCCTCCATCTATTCTTTGGTGGGTTTGTTGATGTCATCAAGACTTCACCAGAAAGAGGAGCACTCTGCAGCGGCTCCAAATCATGAGAGTCCACAGAATGGTTACTTGACGTATGTCTAGTCTCAATTTCAATCGAAAGTTCATCGTCACTTAAACTGGTACGAGAAGAACTCCTCGATTCCTGAATCGACGGCCTCGAGGGCTCATAATTGTCAATTGAATGTCTTGATGTACTACCGAACCTATGCATGATGAAATATTACCAATTGGAATCAGTGCTCAGCTAAAGCACGTTCTCATAGTTGTGAATAACTCTGTTTATAAAGGATACTATATCTTCACCCCCACTTTGCAATTAATAAGCAAAATGCCAATTCTCGGAAGAACAGTATAAACTTCACACACACACACAAAAAAAAACCAAAATATCCATATATAGATAAAAATATATATAGAGAGCGCAAACTATATATATTGTTGCATTAAAGTTATAGAGAGAGAATACAAAAAATTGCCGAGGGACAGAGTCTGTCTCTATCTTTAATCTTCACCAGCAGCAGCAATCAAATCCATAAACTTTTCCTTAGACACATCAGTCATTAACTCCTCTTTTCGACTTTGTCCAGCTTGAACTTTGGTAACCTCCTGGTTAGTTTTAAGTTGCGTCGACAAGACAGCATTGAATAGCTTTACTACACCTTTCTGGGCAACTTTTTTCATCTGCTTCTCCTTATCCAAAATTTCTCGTATATTGCTCGAGTCAGACCCTTCTGAAGCCACTGGCAACAACTGTTTAACTCTATGCTTATCTTGAAATTGTTTCTTTTCCAACAATAACGCTCTTTTGGCTTTGTTTTCCAATTTTTCACCCTCTAGCTTCTTTAGCGTGGTTTTGTTTCTGGCTAAGATTGGGTCCTTTCTATTATATGCTTTTAATTTGGAGTTGATAATCGAATTAAATGCATTGGCAAAAGATTCAGACCCGTCGTCCCTGTTCTTCTTTTGCTTTTTCTTCAATGGGAAACTATCATCTTCTTCCTCTACTGGGTCTTCCTCACTATCGACATCATCAGAATCGTCGCCACTTGACACATCAGCAACATCTACCTCATCATCTTCGTCTAAGTCTGACTCCTTTTCCTCATCCAAGCTACTTTCTTCTTCGCTTTTTTCACCTGAGGAATCAGATGGTTGGCTAGTTAAGTTGCTGGACTTGGAAGTGTATTTAACTGGAGTAGTTTCTCGTTTATTCTTTAGTATAGGCTTGATCTTGGCTTCCTTTGCCATTGTGGGTATATATGTACAAGTTGGTAAGAAGTTAACAGTTACTCTTCTCATCTCAAAATATCCCCCATCGCGCTTTTGTATCAAACTTTTTGTGGTTTTTCTTCAATTGTCGTCAACTTTGTTTTACGACATTAATTATTGCGACAAAAGATTCAAAAACATAAATAAACAAAACATTTCCACTACCGATTTGAAACATAAAGTCCAACTTTGCAAATAAGCCAAGACAGAATGAGTGACAAATATGAATTAGAGGATAAGGAGAATGTTTTTTTAAATAGGGATGTAGCACTCAAGGGACACTTAGCTAACTCCATCACTTCACTGCCAGGTACACGCCGAAGAGAACCAGCTCAAACAACAAAGATGAGAAGATTTACACCAGCAACTACTAGACCAAGTGGATTCACAATATCTGATGCACATAGATTGCGACAGCAAATTAATGAAAAGGAACAGGACTTGGATCTGTTGAATACTAGCTTAATGACGTTGAGAACCCAAGTTGAATCGCAAACCCTCACTAACTTCACGGTGGAAAGCAAGTATTTAAATCTTGACAGACAATTGACAGAATTGAAACTAGACGTTGAAAAGCTAAACGAATTTGAAGAGTCTTCTATGAGAGAATTGCAACATAAATTTGATATAGAGAGTCAGGAGATGATGGTTAAGCATCAAGAACGATTGAATTTGAGAAAAGAAGAAATTGCTGCGGAGATTGACAAGATGCTTCAGGAAAAGCAAAGCACATACTTGGATGTTATTGAAAATTTGAATTATAACATAAAAGCCCTACAAGAAAAGAAGGAAAATCTGAGCCGCGAGTTGGAACAGAAAATAGACTCAGCCCAAAGGTCGTTCAAACAAGAGGAAGAAACACGTCGAGAGAAATTGAGTCAGCTTAAGTTAATCAACAAAGAGAAGTCTGCTTCTGTGAAGCACAGCATCAGAAATCTCAATAGTAAGATTAACGAGATTAACGAAATCAGCATTCCGAGCAAGCAGAAGGAGTATACCAAGTACAATTCCATACTCAATCAACTACAATCCAAGAATTCCGACAAACAAAGGGATATCAACACCACTAAAAACCAAATAACGGACATGGATAAATGCATGACTGGGTTGGAAAGCACATCAAAGTTACGGAATGAAGAGTTAGCCCGAATGAGGTTTGAGATCAAAAGAATGAAGGTGGAATTGGTCGATCAGGAGACGAAAAGAAGAAAACTACATTCCCAATTGCAAGACTTGAAAGGAAATATTCGGGTGTTTTGTCGTATTAGGGCTGTGTCTGCAGATTCTAAACTCATAAAATTTGAATTGCCCGATGATGACTTGAATGAAGACGCTAAGCAGGAACTATCTATAGTGAAAGAAAATGTGGGAATATCCAACTCTTCAAGCTCCTACATGTTCCAATTTGACAAAATCTTTTCCATGAATCACGCAAATGAATTCATTTTTGAAGAGTATTCCCAATTGATTCAGAGTTGCATTGATGGTTTAAATGTTTGCGTTTTTGCATATGGGCAAACAGGGTCCGGAAAGACATTCACCATGTCCCATCCTGCTAATGGTATGATACCGCTATCAATAAAGAAGGTATTTGACGATATTAAAGAATTGGATGTACAAGAGCAGCAATGGGAGTACGAAATCACGGGCAAGTTTATTGAGATATATAATGAAAACATTATTGATCTTTTAAATCCTCAACTGATTGAAAAACACGAAATTAAACATGATGACATCAACTGCAAGACTACAATCACAAATATCACAACTATTCCAATCACGTCGCCGCTGCAGGCAAACTCTATTCTTGAACAGGTGAATAAAAGAAGAAGCACGGCCGCTACAAAATCAAATGACAAGTCGTCTCGTTCACATTCAATATTCATCATTGATATAAAGGGTTCCAACAATGCCACTGGAGTGAAAACTTTTGGCACATTGAACCTCATAGATCTAGCCGGCTCAGAACGGATAAATGTTTCACAAGTTGAAGGGGAACGATTGAAGGAAACTCAAGCAATTAATAAATCATTATCCGCTGTTGGTGACGTCATTTCATCCTTGAATTCGAACCAAGGATCGCACATCCCTTATAGAAACTCCAAATTGACCTACTTGTTGAAACACAGTCTTGGTGGAAATTCAAAAACTTTGATGTTTGTCAATATATCTCCATTGAGTTCAAACTTTAATGAGACAATCAACTCACTTAGGTTTGCTACAAAAGTAAATAGCACTAAATTGGGCCAATAATATGTACAAGAATGTGTGTCTATTTATCTATAAGTTTTGGTTTTTCTTCTATTGATCCATCGACCAAGAAATGCTCATGAGGTTTGTAGCCAGTGGCCTCGATGAGCAAACCGGATTTTTCAACGTTATTCCACAATTGCGGGAAATTTGTCCTTGCCCATTCTTTTATCTCGTGTTGCTTGTCCTCTATGTAACAGTAATTGTGAAGGTTGAGCAACAAGTCTTCACTTACATTTAAATCATATTCATCAATCCTTTCCACTAATTCGAAAGCCTTCTCTGTCTTGCCATAATATGCATAGGCAATCAAGTACTGTTTGTACATGTCGTAGTTTGGAACCAAGCCAAATTTTGACAAGTTGTCCCAGAACTTTTCCACATAGTGAAGGTCATTGTATGTATAAGCTTTGATCATGATAATGGCACTCTCTTCGTCAACTTTATCATTGACGTTGGCAGCAATGAATAAATCACGCACTTTGGCCACATCTTGAAGATTACAGTATGCATTCATAATCACATTTGTGAGCTCCAACCCCACACGAGGAATATTCGTATCCATCTTTAGCCAGTCATGAAGCTGAATCACGCCTTCTTCGTACAACTTGTCGCCAAACTCATTCAAAAGATACATGTATATTTCTGGAGAAGGTGGTGGAAACGAGTGGTCTCCATGCAACTGGTGCTGATCAACCATTTTATTAAAAATTAACAATGCACCGTTCCATCTCTCATGTTGGCAGAAAAACTTTAGCGTTGGAAGTATGCAATCAGGAGGTATATGAAAATACTTGTACAAGTGTGTGAATAAATACCAGTTATTAGCCACTGATTTATCAAATGTGTTGCTGATTGCGTAGGTGTGAAGCGTATTGAACAATTGGAGGTACTTGTGTCCAAATGGCTTGTCAATGGGTAATCGTAATTTTTCGTCTTTGATTCGGGGAAGTTCCCTTTTGAGCATTTCAAGGACATCTCCCACCAAATTGGCTTCCAACATAGCCAGGGACATTACATTGATTGAGTCAATATTTATTGGCTGCTGTAATTGCGCTTTTATTTTTTGAAACATGGGGAATGAATCTCTAATAGGTGTATTTGCAACAACACATTGTATAAGGTCATTTAATGATTTTGCAATGGCAAGATCGTCATAGTAGTCAGGCCATTGGAGATAAGATGTGGAGTCTGTGAATATCTTGAATGCTAGCGTAAAATTATTTTCACTTATTGCCAGGTCAAGCATTGCCTTGAATACTTTTGCTGAAGGAAGCAACCCATTGGCCCTGTAGTAATCAAACGCAACATCCGTCAAATGAGGATGCGATATTGAAACTGCTTGTATCGTTGCTTCAAAAATTTCCTCTGAAACCTCTTCTGATTTCAAAATTACCTCCAATTTCTGCTGCAGAAGAATCTCATTCATCAACTTTGCTTCGATCTTCATAGCAGAGGAGCACTTCTGATCACTAAGGATTAATTTTGCCGATGCGTTGCACAACTTCATATTGTATCGTCTAGCAGCAAATAAAAGCGACTCCATTAACGTACCATCTTGCCCTATTTGGCCCTTTATAGTATCCAACACCTCATTGGTTCTAAGTGCTAACCCATGGACAAGTTTCAGTCTGCCCGCTTCCGCTTGTGAGCTTGCCAGAACCTGTAAAAATTCCTCATTCAATTTAAATATGGCAAATAAGGCAGGAACCGACAACTTCTTTGTGTCAATCTTTTCTATCACATCGGAAACCAACATCTGTACTCTGTCCAAACTTTTCTCCAAATCCTCAAAACAGTGCACTTCTGGGAGCTCATCCCCAAACAAACTTTCGACATATTCATTCAACGCATATACAAACGAATCATTCACCCGCACTTTGCACAAAGACTCAAATATACCAAGGTTCAACCTGTGGTTACTCTTTAAAAAGTCAAAATACTTGTCAACAAACTCATCATTCATTCGGTACTCCAATCGGTGATAAATATTTTCGACACCCACCAGTTGACGAGAAACAAAGTCCATCCATAGTATTAGCGTTTGATCAGGTAGTTCATTTCCATTGGCAATCAACTGCCTCATAAGTCGTTCAAGGAAATCGGGACGCTCCAGAAGCAAATAATTGTACGTATTGTTAAATATTTTCACTGCCAAACCCAACGGTATGGGTTCATTCAGTCTGTTTTCAGTGATATTCTTTAAAACATAACTTAAAAGGTTGATACCCTCTGTTCCAACAGGCTGCTGAATTAGGTCCTCTATTTTTGAGAAAACAAGCTTTCGCTTTAGCTTATTTGGTAATTTTGTGTCTGTCAAGTATGTTGTAAACTCATCGTGATATTGTTGAATGCTTGGATTCGAGTACGACTTGGGCTCTTCAACAACAATTTTTGGGTGTTTCGGTAGCTTCGCTAGGAATCTAATCGAGACCCTCGGGTCCTGTTTCCAAGATCGTAGTTTAGAAGGTAGAAGAGCTTTTCGAAAATGTGGAATCATTTGATGATGCTGATGCCTAGTTGCTTAGATCCATTTTTCACAGCCGAACTTTTTTTTTTCTTTTGCTTCCCATTCCCACAAGCTTTGGGGTAAACTCAATATATACAATTCAGTTTTCTATGTACAGTCTCTACTCTATCCTATTTAGTATCTTCTTCAAATTCGGGTAAGTGAGATTGAAATCTTCTAATGGCCCAGTTTTTGCCGATGAATTTAACGTCCTCATCACTCATACCCTCTGTGTTAGTGTACGTCTTCCAAAATTTTGGATCTTTAAACCTCGGATCCTCTGGTTTGAATGATGCAATTGAGTTTCTAATTTCCAAAACATTGTCACGTAAGAAAGCGGCAAGTGAGCTACGCAAAGCAAGAGCTTTTTGACCGGTTTTCAACTCCTCTGACAAGTCCATTGGGTTTGATTTATCGATATATTTGACAACCAACTTCCTCCACTCTTGTCTATAACGCTCAATCTTTTCATCAGAAATTGCATCTCCTATGGTCAAATGTATCTCAGCACCCATGTTGGCAGGTAACCACCTTTTAATACCTTCTTCAGCACTATGTTCTGGAGCAACTTTCTCAAAGCCATATGTAAAGATGGGCACGACGACAGGAGCCCTTGTAGATTCAAGGATGAGTCTACTTACACCCCATTTGAAATACCTCATTGAATTACCATGTGGCTCTTGTAATTGCAACACAAAGCCCTCAGGAAATACATGAAACCACGAAGTTTTGGATCGTATGAATGGGCTTTTTGACATTAAGACGTTGGTCGAGTCTGGCGTCGGTTTAATAAATTTTACCATATCCGTGTTTGACTTATTGTAGACATTGTTGACGGTCTGAAGAACCACCGGTTTTGCTTCATCTTTGATGCCAGGTTCGTATTCAAGATCTAGGGTATCATCTGGGCTCAATATTCTAATAGCAGCATCTAATGAGCCTTGGAACGGACCTTCCCCAAACCTTTTCGTGCCCAATATCTTTCCCAAGTTAAAGAACCAACTTTGGAATACATTACTAAAACAAATATTGTGGGCACCAAACCCCCATCGAATGGTGTCTATATCTAAATGGTATCTCCAGGGTAGTGCTGCATAGAACGCTGGGTCATCAACCACAGACATGTGGTTCATCACTGTAAGAAGTCCTCTATTCTCCAGTCTTGCCTTCGCTAGTGCATTATCTAATTTCTCTATATTATGTACGAATGGTTTGTATAAAGTATTGAGGATGATTTTAGACCCCGTAATCATGAATAGGCACGTGGCATGTGACGCGTAGTTCCAAAGTGGGTTAGTTCTCGGATATTCCTCTAGAAACTCATCTCCGCGTCTCAATACGTCTTGGAAAGACATTAGATTTCAGCTGTTTAAGTGAAGGGCAACTAAGGATCAAAGGTGAGAAGAGGGAAATGTCTGAAAAAAATTGGATGTTTGAGAATTTTCTTTGGTAGCACGTGTGTGTGCCAACACTAAAATAAATTCGTATGCTGCAGAGATCACTACTCACCAAAGCATGATTAAGTCATTTGGTAGGCTGACATCTGGGTCTGCTTGCTCTTCTAATGCAGGAATAAATGTGTCGTAGATAAAAGCTTCGAAGTTTTCAGGGCACATTATGGCTTGACAAGTATCGGATGTAGCCAAGTGGTAAAAGTCTTCCACATCAACCACGGTATTTAACTCCTTTATCTTTTGGGCTACGTCTACCAGGATTGTATCGTCGTTAAATGTGTTCACCTGATTAAACTGTATTGGTGAGATCTTGTTCGATAATATTAATGTCTTTGCTTTCAACTTGCGCCTAATTTGATTCTGTAAAAAGATGAACCTAGCATCGCTCGTGGGATTGTAACTCATTTCGTACTTTGCATGTCTTGTGATATTTAGTCTGATATTTAGTGACTGAGTTTTTTCTTTTTTTTAGGTTTATTTTGCAACAATTTGTGCCGAACAAAAAACTTTAACTCATACTCTAGTCATGTTTCAAGAGTTTGCAAAAGGGGAGAGAATTTGGAAACCAAGATACGGCCTAACATTGCTCATTCTAACTTCTGACATCGTTTTCAAAGAGAGGCATATCCTCAAAATTTTACAATTAGAACAACTGAACCAACTTCATCAACAAATTTACCAGAGACTTACATCGTTGATTGATGATATAGTTGCTTCCGTGTATAAGGAACACAGACTTTCCACTTTGAATTCATATCCATTAACAGAGATAGTTGCCATATCTTACTTTGTTGCAGATAAGTTCCCATGGTTATTTTACAACTATGACAAATTGGATACACTGAAGTCAGAATCAGCACTACTTAGGGCAAAAGAGGTTGCTGAAGAAGCCTATTTGTTGAAAGTTCCAAGATACAACCAGGTGTGGATCATAACTTATCTATTGAAGGAAGCATATAATAAGCATGTGGAATAGCAACCAATAAGATGAACCAAGACGCGTCGTCTAAATACTTTAAAAAGTCAATCACTGTTAATTTAGACTCATCATAACATTTAAAATCCAACCTCTTTTATTCAAACAGATATACCTCTACTATCTTCTATCTATTAAACTTTTTGTAATCGTGATGAAATTGGAAAAACACTTCTCTCTATATATATAGTACAAGACCAAATTACATTTCACACCAAAAAGCGCGTTCCCAAAAAAGGAAAATAGAAACTAAACCAAAACATTAAACAAAGCGACACAAAAGAATTTCGAAACTTATGTTACATCATCAGAAACATATACCCGCTTTCAAATTTCACAACGAAGTAAGCGTTGTTGCCCCTTAACACCAACAAGTGAAGTTTCGCAAAACAGGAATGTTGATATGAACCGGCAATCTAACAAACAAGAAACATTCAATTTAGGCGATCCTTTGCCGCTATCGTACTTGCCCACCACAACAAACCAAAACAAATCTAAACCCAACAGATTCACGTCAGTATTTGAAATGCCACAAGGTACACAAAGTACACAAGGTCCACCAGGTCCACAAGCTCCAATTTCCCATCGAGTTTCATCATTGCCCAAGAATAATGCAAATACTGAATCCAATTATCGAATATTCAACCGTACACCAAGTATACGAAAACCAAGTCAAACTTCTATTGAAGAACGTATAAGAAACAAGGTGATACAATTAAACTACGAATTAGATGAGATTGCTCACGAGATTACCGACTTTGAATTAATTGACATTAAACTTGATGAAATACTCGGCTTGATAAATGACCTCAAGAACCAAAAAATGGAGATTAATAATGTACAAGACGAAAGTAATGATACACAAGTAGATGAGCTACTCAGAAAGTTCGAGGGTGCCAAAGCTAAAGCTAATTTGCAAAACACAAGGATAAAGACCGCCTCAACTTGGTTTACCACTGGCATTTACAACTCGAGGTATTGGATCTTGATGGCTCTTCTCGCAGTTGCCCTATTTTTCACCAGCTCTGTAATTGCTGCTGATTTCAAATATCGATATTGTTACTACTTTTGCTGAATGGGTTTCTCGGGTAACCCTATTTCTTCTTTTGAATATTGTATTATATGTATTATTTACACGAAATCTAAAATGATTAAAAGATCCACTCACTTCATGTTTTAACTCACTGCTCTTGCCCCGCAACAATAATATTGACTCATATATCATAATCATTCTTTGGTGGTGGGGCTGCATCACTATTCAAATACATGTCTATTGCCAAACTAAAGGCAGCAAACCCAGCACAACCAATAAATGCCGCTTGTGGACCACCTTTGATTGCCAAGCCTGCACCAGTTATACACCCAGCACTAACACCATTGTATATATCATGTTTAGCTCGGAAACTCTCAATAGTACATTCGACACCAGAATAAACTAAACCAATATATCCAAAATTTTTAGCCGATGAGTATGACCTCTTGGCCATATCGGTAAATTGTAACTTCATTTGTTGCTTGAATGGTAAATCACTAATATGCTTAACAGCATCAGTACCAACAGGCACATCATAGGCCATAGATGCCATGAATAAACCAAAGAATGCACCAAGACCGAAACCACTGACCCCGGCCATGGCTGTTTTCCCAGGACACGATTGCATGAAATCTATAAAATATTTTGCTCCTTCTTCTGCTTGTTCTTGTTGACTCATCTCCTGAAGAGACTTTTTAGGAGGCTGGGGACCTTGATATACACCGATCATACTCATGATGGAAAAGCCTGCTTGTCTTGGAAATAACTTGGTTGAAGATGATGAGGTATCGAGAAGTTAGTCCATTTCGATTGCAAATAATTTTTTTTTTTCTTCAATTCTTTGTTCATCCACAAGAAGATTTTCCCCACGAAAATGGATACAAGAAAGGATAGAAAGAGATGTACTGAATTGTGGATTGTGGTACCATGAAGCTACCCGGAGATGTATTGATTTAGTACTTTGAAGGCATAATCTAGGATATCACTGGTTCTTTTGCTCATAGGATCTTACAGTGGCATACCTAGTTTGGTACAATGTGGAGACAGTCTTCACCCATCTTTACTTCAGATTAATACTAGATTAAACACTGCTAATAAGCAAACATCCATAACTTATTAATCAAGTGCAAACTTTCAACAGATTATTCGTTTAACAGCTCCAAGCCCAATCCTGAGCAAGCAAAAAAAAAAAGGAAAATAACCAGTCACGTCCAAAACCACCACGTTTTCACCACGTCCAATACGGGTTTGTTTTCGAAACTTATATTCCACCGAGGCTTTTATTCCCATCACTTCATTCAACGATACTTTGCAATGGGTCCAATTACAAGATCTAACAAACTGGGGTTGAAAACGGCCGAAAACACGTCTCAAGTATACCCCTTGGCAACGGATATTCCCACTGACATTAAAAAGACAAAATCTAATGGAGTAAGCAAAAACAAGACTAAGCCGAAACCGATACCGAAAGTACCCAAGAACCCGCCACAGCTCATTAAGAAGACTGACACGTCACTCATCAAGCAACAAGTGGAGATTCCCCTGGATTTGTCGTTACCGCAAGAATTCATTGATTATCATATTCCTGGGTTTATCAAAGGGGTCCAATATTGTATTGAAAGGGATCCGTCATTGTATCCCATAGTAGTACGAGAAAATTTCTCTGGGTTTGGCTCAAGAGGGTTTGATGAAAAACTATCAAAAGCCGATGATGATCGTATCCATTTGTACTGGTATAGCCTAGTTCGATCGGTAATTGCACAACAAGTTAGTGGAGCTGCTGCCAAGTCAATAGAAGGAAAATTCAAGGCGTTATTTGGTGACAGTTCAATACCGACAGCGAAAGCAACCCTCGATATGTCTGAAGAGCAATTGCGGAGTGTTGGATTATCGAGACCTAAAGTGAAATACGTCCATCACATCAGTCAAGTATTTGCTGATCCACAAGACAAGCTCACACAATTGGATTTCTATCGCAATGCACCAATTGATGAAATTTACACCGAATTGTGTCGATTAAAGGGCATTGGACTATGGTCAGCGAAAATGTTTGCGTTATTTACATTAGAGGAATTAGACGTGTTTGCTGAAGATGACTTGGGTATAGCGCGAGGCATGGCCAAGTATCTTGAACAGAGACCAGAAGTGCTTGCTGGCGCCAAAAAGGAAGTTGCCAATGATGAATTCAAACAAGCGGGGTTGAAAAAGAGATCGAAGTTTTTCAATAAGCTGGATTCGAAGAGGACTTGGAAACCTATTCATGATGTGTATGTGCTTCATGTTGCTGAGAAATTCAAACCTTTTCGAAGCGCATACATGATGATTTTATGGAGGTTGAGCTCTACGAATATAGATGTATTGAATAAAGATTAGAAAAAGAGAAGAGGGAGTTATAAAAACCAGAGATCAATATATATTTTTTTATGCAAAGTTGATAACTTGTTTCAAAACAGCAAGAGTAGAGAAGCCAAGAAGAGTACAGCTTTGACTTTGAAAGTATTGCCACCACCAACATTATGGTCTTCTTCGCCACCAATTTTAATCACTTTTGGTTTCCCCTGCTGGTCTTTTAATTTATTCAATTCTTGTTCAATTTCACCTAACCCATAATCCAAGCCCTTCATTCGCAAGAATTGTAGGTCTTCAGAATTGAAACCTTGTTCATTGATTAGATAATTGATAAATTCTTCAATATCAATTTCAATTTGATCACTTGATTTGTTGCCGTTGGAGAAACTCTTGGTTTTGATTGATGAAGAGATGAATGCTGATCCCGTTGAAGATCCATCATTGTTGTTACTTGCTGCTTTTGGCTTATCGGCAATTAATCGGACCCATCGTTTTATATCATTGGGATTACTTAAAGAATCTTCATATTCGGTGATTTTAGATTTCAATTTCAGGTCCAGGTTTTGATTGGAGCTATGGGGGCTATGGTTATTGGATTTACGCGAGAAGGGGATGTGGTTGTGGTTGATTGACATGGAATGAAGCATGGTTTGTTTGGCCTTGTAATTGAGGAAACTTTTTATCCAAGAGGGACGTGAATGAACTGTTGATGTATCACTGGTATTGAAAATAAACGAATCGTTGTCAACTTGATTTAATATGAAATCCTGGTCATCGTTGATATCAGTGCCATCAGCATTTGTAGGCTGGGGTGCCATCAGCAGCAGCAGCAGCAGTAGAGTCAGCAGAATAGATGAATGACTTTTTGCCTTTTTAAAAAACGATTTTATACCATGCTGCTTGATATGAGAAGCACCTCCAATACTACCACCACCTTGAGGACGAATAAAGGATTCACGAATGGTTTGTTGATTAGGACGTATAGGTATTTCCAAAGAGTTTTGTAAAGCAGGCAAGTATTTTTTGAATTTGGATTTGACAACTAATGCTGGATCTTCAATTTTGACGTCGTTTATGGTAATGGCAAGTGCTTGGATCACATTGAGGAGGCAAAGTAGAGGCAAGATGACGAAGGGTAGTAGTTGAAGAACATTCATTTTTTCAAAAATTGAATTGATAGTACAGTGGCTTGTTGGGGATTGAAAGATGGTGTGTGATTTTTGTTAATTATTTTGATATTTTGAACTCTTTGTCTTATCCTTTATTTTTTTATGTTTTTTATTTTTTTTTTGCACCCAGATTAGGCAATCAAGATTGAGAAGAGGAGGGGGAAAGGCTTGGCCCGCTTTAGGGCAACGCTTCTATAGGTTTACTCTTGCTTCAGGAATTGTGTCCGCTTCATTTCACTCTAGGAGAAAAGGGGGGAGAGGCGCCACCCTGTAGTTTCGTTTGTCTTTCTTGTTCGCACAATCTTTGCATTGCGGATGGACCCACTGACTCACACATCTATTCAACTGATGCAGTGACAGGGACAAATCGTCATATGAAAGTTTATGTCACTGTTGTATTTTTCAGGTACACACATATGCACTCGTGGATTACTTTGACAAGGGAGAAAAAGGCAGTATAATACTATTGCACCTTCACTATTCAAACGATTCTGAAACAAGAAAACCCGTCTTGGGCAAAATTCTAAGATAAAGTCTCCCCCCCATAATCCAGAAAAGAAATACCATTCTCTTAAATAGAAGACTTTAGCATAGCACCCCTTTTTTACCCCCCTCCCCTTACTTTGACGACCCCCTTAATTTCATTTTACAGTGTTTTTTTTTTATTGATACTTGTGCGACATAACTGTTCATAAAACAATGTCATAATTATTCATAGTAGTGCAACATAAACTTTCAAACCAAAGCGACACAATTTTGTATTTATGTAGTTCTGTTCTAGTTGGAAATTTAGAATTATAATAATATAAGACAACAAAAGAAAACAACAATTAATGAAGTTCAAACTGGAGTTACACACAGACAGATATGTGGATGGGCTTGGTAATTGTTTCAGTTTGAGGCCAGACAGAATGGGTTTGGAGAGTAAAATAGCTCTATTGGAGTTGTAATTTAGTCACAGTGACTACAATGAAGCGTTACATCCAGCTAACCCTCCTCTCGTTCAGTCGGTTGGGAGAAAAGTGGTTCCGTATTCTAAATAGATTTCCGTTCTAAGCAATACTGTATATGGTCATTAGCATGCCAGCAGGAGCCTTGATAGCCCTCGAAGAATATTTTTTTTTCTCTAGCTTCTCTTACTCTTGGTGTTGACTGTACTTTTCTTGTTAAATTTGACCGCTGACTTTTAACCTTATACACTGACCAGAACTAGTTAGTTTGGAGACATGTGCGGCTTTTTTTCGTCTCACAGGTGGCGATATTTATCTGGAAAATACAGTATGAATAAAAAAAATTAAAAAAACACTGTATCTCTTCGATATCTTTGTCAAATACGATTGCTATTTCCAGTTTTAGTTTATTACTTCATTTGTTTATTTCAGGCACAGTTTTACTAAAAGAGAACAAAATAAATAGTAGATTTTTCTAAAAATTTCATAACCACAGGAGAACAATAAAATGATATTGCAAAATTATATACATCTAGGAACATTGAGAGCAAAATGAAAAGGATATACATGATGTAAGAAGACATTAATGATGCAGACACATTGGTGGAGCTAGGCTAATTCCAAATTTTCAAGAGTTGTTGTGTTAAGTTCTAAGCCGGAACTTGTGGAACTGAATTATGCTAGACCCAAAATTATCCTTATTGTCTATGCAGAAAAGCAAACTAAACCAGGACGAAGAATAAAAGCAACAAACCAAAAGCTATTTAAGAATAGCCGACTGTGCATAGAAAAAAGATAAACAAAAAGTAAGAGGACATTCTCAAAATTGAATAATTCATTCCTAATTTGGAAAGAGGGGCGAGTTCATACATATTACACTTCCTATCTTTGCAAAAGACAAGGTATGAAAGACAGATTCCTACAGATATGTCCCTGAGATCAACACTGCCGATAATATTATCATTGCTCATACTCCATCATAAGTGAAATGAAATCAGGTCCAAACTGAGATGGAAAGGGCGGGTTCTTAAGAAAAAGTATTATCTAAAATCAATGGTTCGGAGATAATGGTTTAAGGATTTAAGAGCTTTCCCTTGCCGTTAAAAAACAAAATTAATCCAAAGTCGTGCCTTAAAATCGGCCATAGAGTAGTGGATTTTAGATTAAACTCCGAAAGAAGAGACTTTTCGTGACCTTGGGGTATTAGCTTAAGCATGTGTATAATAAAATCTAAATAATATTAAGAAATATACTTTGAACCAGCCATTCTAAGTTCGAATGGTGGGGCAGCAAGGGGTGAAGCATTTGTGTTTTTTTTTTTCTATAATTTTTTAAACAGAAAGGAAAGGAAAGGAAAGGAAAAGAAAAGTAAAGTAAAGTAAAGGCTAGTGTGAGTCTAGTTTGGTAACGGCTTCAAATTTTGGGTGAAGAAAAGGGGTTTAGAACGTCTTTTAGCAGCCTTTTACCTACCGGCCGAGAATATTTTTTCCCTCTTGCCTCCACCGCGTCCCGTCTCGTACTACTCACGGAACAGAAATTTATTTTTGTACGACCCGAAGTAAAAATTAAAAATAAAAAATAGAACAAGAAATAAAAAATATTTAGACGTAAATTACACAAAACTCGAAGCAGAAAAAAAGAATTTGTCTCGTGTTGTTTAATGCGGTCTTTAAACATTTTCAAGTAAAACAAAACACACCACATACTAACTTAGTGTTGCTAACTTTCAATGCATAGGCTTAGAATAGAACTTTACAGATTTAGTAGTGCAATGTTCTAGAAATGCAATTACAACACACAGACTATAAAGAGAAGTAGAATCAGGCGATATAAGAGATACACTATCGTAAAAAGTAACAGAACCCAGACTCCTCCTCTTCTGCCCGTAATAGTCTTGCACCCTTTTCTCTTTTTTCTTTTTTCTTCAACTTTATTTTTGATATGAAAGAGGAGCGATTGGGGTTAGTTATGGTAAATGCGTAAAATATGAAAGTTTTAGCTACAGCTGCCATGAAATTAGATACCAATGGTAATGGTTTTTTGGTATGCTGGTTGACTTTAGGTGGAGTTCGTACAGATATGAAAGTCACTACATTTTTTGGTGGCTACGTAGTGAGGGAATGTTACGTTGTATATCAATGGTTATTAGGCATTGACATGATGACAAGCTATTGTTTCCTTTCTTCTGTCTTGCTAAAGGTTATGATTCATTCAATTGACATAGCGTTGGTTGCAAGTGTTTCTTATGTGGGTGATTCTATATATATATATATATATATATATATATATTATGTGTAATACACCTAGAACAAATATTTTAGTTACGACTATTCCACTCTAAATACAGGAATTCTTACTGAAAAAGTTTATAATTACACAAACTTTAAATCTACAATACAAAATAATAATTTAGTATAATTGTATTGTGTTGTATTGTCTCTCTTTAAACAAACGTACACAATTCACTAACAACATTATATACAGTATTGGACATGTGTACACGACCTAGTGTGTTAACATTTGTTGCGAAGTATATAAATTTCAAACCACTTTTTAGATGTACCTTTGTCGACACCAACAATGTGCTGACGGTGAGAGTCATCCCTAGACCTTCCCTAACTTTGATTAGGCATCGCCGCTTTACTCATGGCACTCTAATGATAGAGGCAAAGCGGAAACTAAACGAGTTAAACTCCTGAACACGTAAATCACACAAACAACAAAGAACAAAAAAAGAATATAAACGCATTATTAAATGGGAACAAAAAATAAATAAAAATAAAAATAAAAATAAAAATAAAAAAAAAAGTAGACACACACTTTAGTATCCTTTTTCAATTGTAAAAACCCGTCTTTTCGTTTTCTCTGACTTTTACTTTTCCTTTTGAAAAAACCACCCTAAAACTCAACCACGCACCATTTCCATCTGGCTATATTATCACAAGGGATAGCTTACTAGACTAAAGGTTCAATTAACCACACTGTGTAACATACTACTACTACTACTGCTACTTAATTGCAACTATTGTCTTTTAAGGAGAGATATCACAGCCACTTCCAAAAGGACAAACAAAAACAACACAACCACAACCACAACCACAACCACAACCACAACCACAACCACAACCACAACCACAACCACAACCACAACCACAACCACAACCACAACCACAACCACCAAAACAAAACCCAACACACTCGCTTTATTTACACTTTATTACAATACTACCACCCATTACTACAGCTATAGACCTTCAGATATAGACAACGTACAGTGCAACCCCTTCTCCTGCCTACAATTATTACGACCTTTACCCTAATAGAATATGACACCACATTCGAGAAGAAATTCCATCACGTCGGTGTCCACTGCAAACACATACACATCACAACAAATGCCCCACATCAACAAGTCTTTATCAAGAGACATGTCCACCGACAATTTAATTTCAGTTGACAGTAAATTCATCAAGAAGCCAACAAAGAAGGTGGCTGGAGGATTGTCACCGCAAATAGCTCCCCATGATTCCTTCTCCAAGAGCAATAGTATTACTAGTGCCACCAGCTATACAAGCTATGCAAGTCACAACAGTTACACCAGTAATGCTAGTAACATCAATCACAACTACCAGCAGAGCAGCATCATCAACAACAACAGTAACAACGCAGTGGCTAACAGCAGCTTTAGAAACCAGGGACCTTCAGCTAATTCCTACTACACCAAGGAAGGTGTATACTACTTTCCCAATGGTGAAGTATTTCGGCCCAGAACCGCACCAACAAAGAGAAACAGACCAGGGAAAATAATTGTTGACACGTCCTCCACAAGACAAAACAATAACATCAATAATAACAACAACAGTAACAACAACAGTAACAACAATAATAATTACCAGGGTATGAGCCAAGGATATCACCCCAATCAAACACACTATTCGCCTTCCATGGGGCCTCATATGAATCAACCGCGTTTCGCTAATGAATCACCATCGTCGTCACCAGCCATTGCTGCACCCCCAACTCTTCGATCAGCTGGTTCATATACATCTCTTCCAAAATCTAATTCACTACAGAATGTGCGATTAGCTAACAAGCAGAACTTGTCGAAAACTATTAGAGATAACAGGGGTGACATTCACACAAATATAACAATTGATAATAATAACAACAAGATGCCTTATGAAAACTACAAAAACAACAGTGCTTCAAGTTTGAAAAATTTGCATAAACTTCACTCTCAAAATATCACCAAATCAGAACAGCATTATTCATCAAATGCATCTTCATCCATATCTTCATCTAGTTCCAACATGTCTAATGTTTTGCAAAACCAGTACCACAATAATTCTACAACACATTTGGATCGGTCTGATAGTAACACACCATCGACTTCAATTAGTGACGATCACATTCATGCTAAGCATTATCATCCTCAAAATCAGTTTAACCATTCAGTGGAGAATTCTGGTGAAGCTGAATTAACCTCGAACGCGGACAATGTAGGTGGGGGTTTTCACGAACACACGGGAGAGCCAACCCTACATCAAAATCACGAGGATTCATCGCGAGTAGAGTCAAACAAACCGCTTGATCAAGGTAGATCAACTAAACAAGACACAAGCAGCTATGCTTCCGCTGAACAAAATGGCGCCGCTGCAAATGCAAATAATGACACGAATAGAGAAAGTAGTGGCTCTAGTGACCAAAGACTAAGTATGGATTCGGTCTCAGATGGTAGTGGTAATCGCCGTGACGATGACGATGCCACCGATGACACAGTTCTTAGTACCTTGAATGCCAATAGCGAGGACACATTCAAGACAGCAACAGCCGTGTCTACCTTACGCTCGAATAGTGCCGGCCACTCATTGAGCTCTATTGGAGATAACTTGCACCGCCATGCTGTGCATGATTATCCTACGTCGTCCCATTCCGACAATTTGCATAAAGCATATCTGGATCAGCCATTGAGACATTCTTCTTCGTCTATTTCAGATGTCAGTATCGACGATAAAGATAGCTTGGATGAAACACCTATATTGACCGCGCCAATCACGAGCCCAATTGTGCCCCAGCTGGATATGTCAAGACATAGAAATGACACAACCAAGGCATGTGAGGCGCCAGAGAAGCCGGTTCTTGCAAATATTTCAGACATGTCATTTAATTCCACACAAGAAGATTTATCCAAACCCTATGCAGAAAATCCTGAGGCTAAGGAGACAGCATTGGTTTTTTCTAGCCACAGAGACGAACCTGAACAAGGTACGACCTCGATATCGGTACCAATTAATTGTTCAGTTTTGGAGAAGAAAGCGGAAGATGTTCCTGACTTGAAGCCTCCACGTCAAGTTGCTAGTGTCAGAAAGACTTCAAGTGGTGACCCGCCTAGTGACGAGAGCTTTTTGCCGGAGCCAAGTATCGATAATGGTTCGTTTGTGGATGACTATCTGAATAACGCTTCTCCTGAACTGTACAAATTGAATGAATTGATTGAAGCACACAATGAGCCAAGTCCTTCGGAAGTTAATCAAATCAAAGAAGGGCAGGGAAGTGTGAAAAATCAGACGATAAGTGTTCCCCAAAGTGCTGATAAATTGAATCAACAGGTATTATCACCTTCTTATTCCTTTTCATCCGTTCAGTCAGCTGATTATGAAATCACTTGTAAATCATTCAATGGGTTGGTCAATGACAATCAGGAAGCAGTTCCACCTCGGGGAGATGTTCAGATTGGCGAGAAAAAGATTAGAAAACATCATCGACATGCGTCGTCTACTTCATCGGCCGAGTTTATCAGCCAGCTTAAACAAGAGGCATCAAAACCGGTGTCCAATGATTCAAATACGACAGCAAATCCGTCAACTCCAAAAGCAGAAGGACAGAGGGTAAGTGATGAAATTGAAACACCACCGTATGATGCTGTTCCTCCACCACCAATAGACAAATCACCAGGTATGAAAGTTAAAGGAAAACCAAAGAAGCATAAGCACCATCACCATCACCATCATCATCATCAACGCCATGACAATCATCACAATATGCAACAAGAGAATGGAGACAGTCGCAAATCGAGTAATGTTAAAGTTGGCTCAGCATTGAAGGAAGAAGTAGTTTTGACACCTCAGCTGAATAATTTCCCTAAAGTAGGCTCCTTGTTGACCAGTGATACAGCTATCCATTCGGCATCAAAAGATGAACCAGCAAAGACTTCCAAACCAAGTTTAGTTTTGAATGACTCGGTCTTCAATAAACCAGCGCCTTCTTTTCAAAGTACAAAGCAATTCCATTCGCCTCAACAGCTGCAACATGCACCGTTAGAATCGCCCAAAGCATCGTTGTTTAGTTTTAACACTTCCATCTCGTCGACATCGCCTTCAAAATTGCCCAAGTCGAGCTCCATATCCAATTTCAAGTCATTTTTCAAAAAATTGAAACCAAAGGAAAAAGACGCCAATGTTTCTACTAGTAACGTTTCCTTGAATAGTGGAGCATCCGCATCACCTTCAAAAAAGAAGTTGAACCGTGGATTGTTTGGATTTAGTAAATTCAAGAAGGAAGAAACGACACCTCCACCAACGGCCGCGTCAAAACTAGAGAGCAACAATGATGCCAATATTAGTCGATTATCAGTTCTTAGTGAAGCTTCATTCAAACTAGGTGCCTTACCTGATTTCGAACCCGAAGGTGACGGCTTGTTTGATGATGTGATGCTTACTTTTGACGAGCAGTTTGAACGTGATTTGACTCCAACTAAGCCACCAGATTTTGTAAAGTTGTCGCAAACTGCATCAAGGAATAAGAATAGCAACGGTTTATTGAGTGAACCGTTTTTGAAAGATGATGAGTTGACTAAGGAACAAATTGCGGATCAACAGTTGCGTGATAATACAGAGAATTCTGGTGAGGACGGAAGTGGTGCCAGTAATGATGATGAGGATGATTACGGTGGAGAGGAACAAACCAACACTGGTTCTGATGTTACTGAAAACAATGCCGACACCGGCACTTGGACGGGCACCTACATTGATGAAAACATTGAGTTTTTGAAAAATGAAGGCTTTTGGTCTCAATTAGATGAAGCTGCCTTGGCTAAGCAAATTGAGCTCGAGAAGAGAAGCAGTGGGATTACCCAAAGACCTAAAGAAGAACATTTTACTGTATCCACACCAATCCAGGAGTCAATGAATGAGGAAGGAGATACTGATGCTTCAAATGGCAAGCCATTGACAGCCCCTAGCGATACCTCACCGAATGGAACTGCCAGGGTAGTTGTCGACAATCATGAATTGAACTACATTTTCTCCAATTTGACCGAAGAAGGTAAACGCAATTTGCCATTGCATTTGAAATATATTAAGCAGTTTCGTGATTACTCAACTGTTGAAGTTGAAATGCGCAAGTTTCAAGCTGTGCTTGAGGATAAACCAAAAACGATTCAACCATTGAATAAACCATCGATTCTTAAACGTAGACAATATAAATTCAATTCACCATATGATCAGCATCAACAGCAATTGCAAAAGTCAGTGAGTTTTCCTCAACAACTGAACAACAAACGCGTCAATTTCAATAACAAGATTCTCATTAATGAAACTTTTTCCAGTGATGCTTACAAAAGATACAATAAGTCAGTTACACAATACAGTTTATCTGATTCGAAAGAAATTAGCAATATCAAGAATGAAGTCAATTACTACAAGTGTAATGAAATGTTGGTTCATGAAAGTTCACAAAATAATACGCATTTTTACTACTAAAGAAGAAAGATGGGTGGTTTTTCTTACACTTTATTATTATAGAATTTCAATACACACGTCTAATACATAAATATATGCTGTACAAACTTTTGATACATTTGTTCAGCTTCCTCTATACGTAGTATATGAGTAATTACTCAACAATAATGGAATATGATAATGCAGTAAATCATCAACTTCGAAAACGATTTCAACAACAGGGAAGAAACTTCTTGACCCGGAACCGCTTGCAGCGAGATCTTTGAAATATTTACCAGTCAAGAACTTGACCTTGTATAATCCAGGAACCAATTTGACCCATTTGCCACCACGTACCCCCGTCTTGCTGAAATTTTCTTCTGATTGCTGAACTTGTGGGTCAAATACCCAATTGAGCACTCTGCCGTCCTTGTTCGTTTTTGCTTGAGCAAATGGTGCATCGACTTTAAAATCAGTAGTAGTGGTGACTTCATAAACTCGCAGGATTTGTACAATTACGTTGCGGGCGGGAAGTCCAACGGTAGTATCGAGGATATGACAAGTGATTGGGTCACGTTGTTGCTGTTGTGACATGATTTAGGGACAGTGGCTTGGTTTGGAAACGATGTAGAGTCTTCGTTTTAATGCTTGAGGTGCACAGATTTGGTTCGTCAAGAAGAATAAAATAGAATAGCAATGTGGGCTTTTGGAAAAGGAAAGATAATTATTGTCGATAAGGGTGAGAGAGAGAGAGAGGAGGGTTTATTATGGCGGAGATAACCGAAATGAATTAATATTAGCAAAAAAGGTACCAAAGGAAAAAACAGAGAAATTGAAAAATCTTATTTATTCATAAGGAATATTTGATTAGGAAAGGATTGATCTCTTGTCATATTGTAGTTGATCTGGTTCCTAGTGAGTTAGTAGTCTCAAACTGCTCTTCTTAAAAGCAACCATGCCTGGTAATGGGTATATATGGGATAATAATACTCCTTACATGCAATTGCCAAATCCGAGTTTTGACTATACAATCTACTAAGTACAGGAAAAGATACTGCTCCTATTTAGCTTCTCATACACATGCTAGTTTGGTCCTACCTTCATGAAGATATACTTTGGAACCAATCCCTCTGACGTAATCTGGTTTGGTGTGGCTTTTTCTCTTTTGCTGAAAGGGAGATGCGCATTGCCAAAAGAGAAGAAGAAAAAAAAATTCTTACAAATGACTTTCTAAAGCCAGTAATACGACTACATATGAAAAGATGTTGTTTCAAGTGGAAGGTTGGAAATTGAAGAATGACAAGAAAATAGCGTTGGGAGGAGTTAAGGATAAGAAGAAAAAGAACAAGAATAAAGACAAGAAGAAGGAAAGGTCTGGAGATGAACAACATAGTGTGGGCCATAAGGATGCACAGCATGATCATGAAGAGCAGCCAGCCAAATCTAAAAAAGGAGACAAGACGAAGCAAAGAGACGATGGTGTTGACACACATGAGGAAGCATCACTCAAGGATAAGAAAAAGAGGAAAAGAGATGCTGCTGAATCAGATTCCATCACTCACAAGAGAGCCAAAGCTATCAAGCAAGTAGCATCAAACACAACAACCCCAAAGGCACCAGTAGAGCCAGTACCACCGGTCCCTGTTACCACCCAAACTAAGCTAACACCCTTGCAACAAAAGATGATGTCGAAATTGTCAGGATCTCGATTCAGATGGATCAATGAACAATTGTATACAATCACATCAGAAGAAGCTCTCAAGCTCATCAAAGAACAGCCGTCATTATTCGACGAGTATCATGAAGGATTCAAATCACAAGTGTCTAGTTGGCCTGAAAATCCTGTTGACGTATTTGTTAAACAATTTGAAACACGATTACTTTCCAGAAACATCAACGCTCCAGGTGGTTTACCTGGTACAAGAGACAAGAAAATTGTTGTTGCTGATATGGGATGCGGTGAAGCACAATTTAGTGCAGATGTAACCAAATTTGTCCAACAACAAAGGAAAAAATCAAAGAAATACAAGAATCTCGATGTTGAAGTCCATAGTTTTGATTTGAAAAAGCAAAATGATCGAATCACAGTGGCTGATATCAAGAATGTGCCATTGGAAGATGAGTCAGCCACAATTGTCATTTTCTGCTTGGCTTTAATGGGAACGAATTTCTTGGATTTTATTAAGGAGGCATATAGGATATTGCAACCACGAGGTGAGTTATGGATTGCTGAAATCAAATCAAGATTCAGTGAGAAACAAACGGGTAAAGGAGGTAATGATGAGTTTGAACAAGAAGATGCTGAAAACAGCACTGTTGGTAAAGAATTTGTTGATGCTTTGAAATTGTGTGGGTTTTTCCATAAACTGACGGATAATTCGAATAAAATGTTTACGCGATTTGAGTTTTTCAAACCACCACAAGATATAATTGATGAGAGAAGAGCCAAGTTGGAGAGGAAGAGGAGGTTCATTGAAGAAGAAAGTGAGAAGGAGAAATTGGAAAACAAGAGGGAGGTCAAGCCTGAAGGACAATGGTTATTAAAGCCTTGTATATACAAGAGGAGGTAAAACTAAGGGGCAGGTTTTGTAGTATGAAGACGTACAATTGTGATCAGGATGGCTCAAGTGGACTTGTTGCGATTACGATAATTTTGTTCAAGATAATTTTGAAAGCTTTGTGCCAAATGTATCTTTAAATAGATTTGAATTTCATAAAAGACGTCACTTTTTAGCTAATACTTGTGTAGCCCATATGTATATGTCACTCTAAGCTTGTTCCTGTTTGGGTTAGGTTTGTTCTTCTTTTGCAAAAGATTGCTCCATAAATGGTTGGTGTAACCAGCCATAGAAAAAAATGCGAGTTCCTGTATACAAATAATTTATTTTACAAATTCCCATCTCCTGCATATAATTTTCCAATCAAAAGCGGCTGGTTAGAGAAACTAGAACCAGCAGTCAAGTTCAGGAACAAGTCATGTCCATTATCTACAACAATCGAGATATTGCAAGCCATGTGTGTGGTCAATATATATAAATGGAAGATGCGGTCCTCTATACGGCGCAAAGCGTCCGACTCTATATGATCACTTTTAGCACCTATTAAACTACATTCTAAAAACGCGCTAATCAAAGACCACTACAGCACACTTACCATGACAGATTACTACGAACCAACCTTGTTGTTCAGACAAAATGCCATAAGAAGATTCAATCCCAGCTTATCACCCATCTCTAGTGTACTAAGTTTAGTTGAGGATTCAAGCACATCTCAATCCTCGTTAAGCTCGCCATACCTTGACAAAACAACAACCGACACCACATCGTCATCTTGGTTGCTCAATTTACATAATGATAAAGATACCCAAGTATTGAGTAAAAGCTGTTCTTTGAATCGAACAAATATCAAGTCGAATTATTGGAAAATTCCCGATAACAATATGAATTTGACATCAATGTGTGTTAAACATCAATCGATGCAAAATCCTTTATTGGCAATTTCACTGAATAATTATGATAGCAATTTATTCATCTATGAAATCAATCTAGATTCAAATCATTTAATTCATCATTCAACTATTAGTTTGTCAAATATTCATAATATGAAGTGGATTAACAACACGAACACCACCAACGATAAGAATTACCTTGTTACTGGGAATAACAAGGGGTATGCCCATTTAGTAGCCATGCCTGAGATTGGACAAGTTTCTGGTGATGATCAAGATTTGTACTCAGCTGAGATTTGCAAGCGATTTAATCATAGAAAACACATCAAGGATAAAAATAAAGCAGCCGCCATGTTACCAATCAAGAAGCTAGACCTATTCAACAGCGACAAGGAGATGATTTCAATATATGATGACTATCTATTTCATTGGGATATCATGAATTCAGAATCGCAGCAAAGACCACAACCGATATCAATTACGACTGTTGCTGGAATAAAGAATTTTGACGTATTACCACACAACAATACCACGTTGAGTATATGTGGGAAATTTGGTATCTCATTGTTTGACACAAGAGATTCTAAGTTTAGCATTCCCATGTCATCGTCGTTGACAAGGAATTATCGTCAATTGTCGGGTAATATTGTCAAATGGAATCCAGATAACGACAATATATTAGCTGTAGGACACGGCGATGGTGTTGTTCGATTATGGGATATACGAAAGCAAGACTATTTCACCAGTTTGCATGGACATTCACATCGTTCGAACTTGAATCAAGTAACTAGTATTGAATGGGACCGCAATGATTTATTTACAGGAGGTCAAGATGGTAATATAATACACTGGGACCTCACTTCAGATGTTAGCATAGATGAAATTGGCCATATGAATTGCGGATTAAGAGAAGGGTTGGATAGTTTTACATTTAACGAAAAAGCAAATTCATTAGAAGTTGACGTGAATCAGAGACAATGTGGAACTGTTTTACCGGCATCCAATACCAATGTCGTTGGCATGTGCTCTGTTGCTAATGACAGTAATGAAATCAAGATTATGTCGATTGATGGGTCTTCATTCCTTGGTGTACATTCTCAAGTGAAAGAGGCAATCAAGTTGAATATCAATCCCGATAAGTTGTACTATACTGAGGAAGATATAGAGGAGTTGTTGCAATATGAGAGATCAATCAACAATAGCAAAGAAGATTTGGCAAGATCCGGCTCGCAAGAAAGCTTAATTGAGTCGGAACTGCCCTTGATGATACGGAGAAAGCCAACTTTTATCAGCATCAAGAGCTTTGATTTGACACCTACAGAACAAGAGCAAGAGCAAGAGCAGATGCTGGGCTCCGAAACTGAAATTGAACCAGATAATTTGGAAGTCACGTTACTTCCATCCCCTAAATTCAACCAATTTGCCATTGAAGATGCTATATCAGTAGATGATTTTGATTTTACATTGAATAACACGTCTGAGTCGGAAGTATCAAGTCCAGATTCACCGCAACATTCATCAGTTAATGATTCAATGGACTCTTTGTCTACAATAGCAACAGATGTGGATGCTATGATCGCGCATGAAAAGGGAAATGAGAAACAGGGGGTGGTGGCCAAGCTCGCAGTGATGAATAATACAAAGGAACACTCTTTATACAAGACCTATTCAGGACATGACTTGAAAAACTACAAGTATAGTGATATTTTCCGATCACTCGATAATTTGAATTTGTCGTACTAGAATTGATGGTATAGGTAATATGATTTATTTACGATTTAGAGCAATGTGTAATTATAGACTTGTACTGGGACTTTGAATAGTGCAGAGCTTCTCTATTACTGACTCAAATGCATTTGGATGAGTCAAAAAACCCTTATTTACCAAGGCGTAGATTTAATATGGTTTAAAATTACACTAAAGCGAATGTCTTTATATATAAAACAATTGTTTTAAAAGCGAAAGCGAGAAAGAGAAAGAAATTGCTGTTGACAAAAGCCAAACGAACAACAAGCAAAAAAAAAAAAGAAGACAGAAGAAGAATCTGAATCTAAATCTAACTACAGAGAAGACAGAGGATAGAAGAAAGTAATTGAACATCATCCTGTCTGACACTATATCACATTATATCACCTCACCTCACCTCACCTCACCAGGGGAACAACATATAGTAGAAAAGGAAAAGAGTATACCACTTCCCATTAAATTTTACACGTCAAAAAAAGTTAAAGGATAAGTTTTGGAATAATCTTTGTTACTTCCGCACGACTCTCCCATTTTGTTAAATTTACGGAAGACAGGCAACAAACCAAAAAAAGGCCAGCTCGACATTTAACCAAGCCGTGATCAGTCAGGTACATTTCATTTGAAGCTGATATCACGACAAACCCCTCCTTCCGTTAAAGCTTTACCCTAAAAGTTATGTCTAGAAACTCGTCGACAATCAGTGTCAAATTGGTTGCTGCCGAATCCCTTTACAAAAGGGATGTATTTCGTCAACCGGATCCCTTTGCAGTTATAACAGTTGATGGATCGCAGACCAAAACTACAAAGACTGCAAAAAAGACACTTAACCCCTATTGGAATGAAACGTTTACTTTCCAAGCACTGGAGGATTCCATATTAGTCATACAAGTATTTGATCAGAAGAAATTTAAAAAGAAGGATCAAGGGTTTCTTGGGGTTGTTAATGTGAGAATCGGTGATTTGGTTGACTTTGGGTTACCAAGTTCAGAAGAAACTATCACCAGGGACTTGAAAAAACTGATGGAAAATGTCGCCATTAGTGGAAAGATTATTGTCGTTATTTCTCATAATAGAAATCTGACTAATGGAGCAAGCAGTGCTAACAGATCCTCTAACGGGCATAGAGCTACTTCTAACGGCACTGCTTCTGCGGCACCGCCTACGGCCGCTAGCGCTGGCCCTTCTTCAACTGGACCTATCGCTGCCACCGCTGCTGCTGTCTCGTCCAACAACTCAGCTGCCCACAGGCAATACTCTTCATTTGAGGACCAGTATGGGAGGCTACCACCTGGATGGGAAAGAAGAACCGATAACTTTGGAAGAACATATTATGTTGATCATAACTCAAGAACTACAACTTGGCAAAGACCTGCGTTGGATCAAAGTGAGGCTGAGAGAGGTCATCAAAGACAGCATGATACTGAGGCAGAAAGAAGACAGCATCGTGGTAGAACGTTACCGGGTGAAACACCAACTAGTCCATTGCCGCAATCGGGAAATAATTCGGTAACCAGTGGGAACGTCACTGTTAATGCTACTGGAGCTAATACTCCAATTAATCCTGCCGCTGCTGTATCGATGGCTGCTTCAGGTGCAACAACTTCTGGATTGGGTGAATTGCCTTCAGGATGGGAGCAACGTTTTACAAACGAAGGTAGGCCATACTTTGTTGACCACAACACAAGAACTACTACTTGGGTTGATCCTAGAAGGCAACAATATATTCGTACTTTTGGAGCAAACACCACGATACAACAACAACCAGTCAGCCAATTGGGACCTTTACCATCGGGTTGGGAAATGAGATTGACCAATACCGCAAGAGTGTATTTCGTTGATCACAACACAAAGACGACTACATGGGATGATCCTAGGTTGCCATCATCATTGGATCAGAATGTTCCTCAATACAAGCGTGATTTTAGAAGAAAAGTCATTTACTTCCGTTCCCAGCCTGCCTTGAGAATTCTTCCTGGACAATGCCATATCAAGGTTAGAAGAGATCATATTTTTGAAGATAGTTACCAGGAGATTATGAGGCAAACACCAGAGGACTTGAAGAAGAGACTAATGATTAAATTCGATGGTGAAGAAGGTCTAGATTATGGTGGAGTTTCTCGTGAGTTCTTTTTCTTGTTGTCACACGACATGTTTAATCCATTCTATTGCTTGTTTGAATATAGTTCACATGACAACTACACCTTGCAGATCAACCCCAACTCAAGCATTAACCCAGAACATTTAAACTATTTCAAGTTTATTGGAAGAGTAGTGGGGTTGGGTGTTTTCCATAGACGGTTCTTGGACGCATTCTTTGTTGGTGCTTTGTACAAAATGATGCTTCACAAAAAGGTTGTCCTTCAAGATATGGAAGGTGTTGATGCCGAATTTTACAGATCTTTGAAATGGATCTTGGACAATGACATCACTGACATATTGGACTTGACCTTTAGCACTGAAGAAGAAATTTTTGGAGACAGGGTGGAAGTTGACTTGAAGCCAGATGGAAAGAATATAGAAGTTACAGAGGCAAATAAGCACGAGTATGTCGAGTTGATAACGGAGTGGAGAATAAGTAAGCGTGTCGAAGAACAATTCAAGGCGTTCATTGATGGATTCAATGAGTTGATACCACAAGAGTTGGTGAATGTGTTTGACGAAAGAGAGTTGGAGTTGTTGATTGGTGGTTTGGCAGAAATTGACACTGCCGACTGGAAGAAGCATACCGATTATAGAGGATACCAAGAACTGGACCAAGTGATACAATGGTTTTGGAAGTGTATTAACGAATGGGACTCTGAACAAAAAGCTCGGTTGTTGCAATTCACTACAGGTACATCGCGTATACCGGTTAATGGATTTAAAGATTTGCAAGGAAGTGATGGTCCAAGAAGATTTACCATTGAAAAAGCTGGTGAGCCTAATCAGTTGCCCAAGTCCCACACTTGTTTCAATAGAGTCGATTTGCCACCATATGCTGATTACGAAAGCTTGAAACAGAAGTTATCCTTGGCTGTTGAGGAGACTGTTGGTTTTGGTCAGGAATAAGCGGAGAGGTTTGAAATCTAGTGCGTATACAGATTATAAATAATATAAGTTTGTCTTTTGCAGGATGGTGTAGGGAAAACTCTAACCGAGGATATCTGGCAAGAGATACAAAAAAAAAAAAAAAAAGAATGAAAGCGGAAAAATTCTGGGGTCAACTTTTCATAGACCCACAGTATTTGACTGAGCCATGACAGTAGACCAAGTTGTAGTTGAACCAGCGAGTACAGAAGAATCGATTCTTGAAGAAGATTTGCACTCAGAAGAGACTTTAGAAAAGCAGATTCTCACATTCCCCATCTACCAAAGCTACATCGACTTGTATCAAAAGTTCACGTCAACAAACACAAAGACTCTTGACATTGTTGAACGAATCTATCCCAACCTCACTGGAGCTACATTGTCGGGACCGCATAAAATTGCATACCGGTCGCAAACTTTATATTTCATTGACGATTACCATTTTCAATACAATGAAATTACTGATCCAGATGATCGTGACAACTACTCTATTTCATTTTTGCAACTAGGTGATGCCTTATCTGGACACAAGGGGATCGTACATGGAGGCTTATTGGCTACCTTGCTTGACGAGTTGACTTGTCGTGTGGGATTTCTAAACTTTGAAAGCAAGCGAGGTGTTACCGCTAACTTGAATGTGAACTACAAGAAGCCAACAAAAGTTGACTCATGGGTCTGCATCAAATGCACTGTGCTTAAGAAAACTGGGAGAAAGTGTTGGGTTAAAGGCGATGTCTATTTGATTGACGAGACAAAGAAAGCATTAGAAGATTGTGAGTTGTTGACTTCGTGCGAGGTATTAATTGTTGAGCCGAAATGGGTCGACCAGTTGAAGCATTGATTAGAGAGGTAAAGAGACCTTTTGTGCTTTTTAAATGATGCGTTATTTATTTCAAACTACTAAACTATAGAATTGTGAACCTGTGTCTATTAACCTACCCTCTAATTGCTGCCAAGTTATGATTCAAAGCTTGTAATTCGTAAACAATACTATCCAATTTCTTCACAACGACACATAATCCAATAAATACGAAAATGAGGGCTGCCAAATAATCGAGCAATACAAAATTCGATCCAGTTGATCCCATTGTTGTGGGTGGTGATTAATTCATTCTGAAGAGACATATCATTGTTGGAAACTTTTTACGATTTATATAGAAACGAGTGTGTTCAATATCATAAGATAATTTGAATCTGGTGTTTCTTGGTGGGGAAGGGTTCTCCAATTTCCAAAACTGGAAAGTGAGAGAAACGATTCCTTTTTTTATTTTTTTTTTTCTTTTTGGCTTGTGAATTTTATCAAGTTAATAAACCATTATCGATTAGGAGATTGAGGGAAAGAAAAGTGGGGGAAACAGGGAATGAAAGGAAAGGAGGAGTTGTGGATGTGATCTATTTTTTTGTTAATCTTTTCCTATTATTTACAGCAAATTATCGGTACCTTTTGTCTTACTCTGACCAAGTTCCAACTTGGCACTTTTAGCTCCAAACTGAATAGCTCTTTTCAATTCCTGTGAAACCCAAGGCATTCTAAGCTGGTTAGCCAATTGTCGTAATATGTACTTCCTGGTGGGTATCATTTGATCGTTTTCACGTTTATTCTTACCAATATCATATTTGAACTTGAGTTGTGGAGGTACATTTGAAATGACCCAATTGATGAAGTCTTCATCTAAATATGGATATCTGAGCTCTTTCCCCCAACAACTCATCACTCTATCATCACGGCCGAGATTCCTCTCGTGAATTATGCTAATGTCATATGATAGTGATTGCGCTAACTCAGCATAGTTTCGTGTTGTGATAGTATTGAACAATCCTTCATGTCTTGAATAACCAGCAAATAATTCATCGGCCCCCAATCCACTGAATAATACCTTTGCCGATGAAGTGAACAATGGTGTGCGCTGAGTGTAAACATCTTGATTCTGGCTGAACGTGTTCCAATCAATGTCAAAATTGGTCAATCTCGTCATTGATGTCAATTGAGGCAACATTGATGCAGCAAAATAAAATGCAATAGCAATGGACAAGTCCATCTCTGTGTTGCAAGGATACATTAGTTCGCGTACCCGTTGCCTATGTATAAGCCAGTGCCTGTAATCCACATTAATCTCCACCAAGTTGATAATCAAATCCGGGTACATTTTACACAAGTGAAACCAAGACTTGATTGCTAGTTTTCTATCTGGACTCGTATCCGGAGTTTGCCCAGTACGTGGATTCTCAAAGCCAACAGTTAAAAGATCAATCGCGGAGTTACCATCTTTAGTTAGCTCGCAAATAAGGCTGGCAAGAATTGTGCAGTCTAAACCACCACTAAATAATACTGCCAATGAACTATCATTGGGATTGTCTACTGGGTGAATAGAATCATGTCGTATTTTCGTCGCTTGCATCAACCTCGAATACAACTCATGTCTAACATCTTCTTCGTTGACTGGAACAAACGTTGCAACAGGCAATTCGAGTAATTTGTGAATCTCAATATCATCCTTTATCATATCATACACGTAGATTTCATTTCGACATTCTTGAAAACCTAGGGCAGAATTAGAACTAACAATGATTTCACCATTGTCTCTTTTATAGCACAATGAACGCTTTCCAATAGAGTCACGACCAAAGTAAACCTTACTCTCCAACAAATCAATTACAGTTATTGCCCATTCTCCACTAAGTTGCCTCAAAGTAGTCAATATTGTCTCACACCTATTTTCCCCTAGATTTGAGTGTAACATATCCATTATAAACAGAGTGTCATTAGTTTCAAGGCATTCCGAATTATACAACTCACCGTTGAATTGCAATATAAACTCATCCCGAAAGACTGGTTGCTTCATGAATGGTTGACGTAAAGATAAGATCGATGTAAATAACTGAACGTATCTGTCTTCGTGTTCAAATTGGGTATAGTTTAGATAATTTGGTCCCCTGTTGGAAATGGCAAAGATTAATTTATCAAAATCAGCATCACTCATCGGTAATTCATCCTCTTTCGCGATTGCATCGATTTTACTTTGGATTTCCAAAACTTGCTGCTCCTTGTCCAAGGAAGATATCTTGACATTGTTTTTGACTTTGCTCAACTGGTTGACTAACGAACGCAACACATCCAAGTTGTTCAACTTATTCTCTTGCTGTTGTGTTAACTCATTCACACGAGCACCTTTTTGCAAAAACGGTTTGATAAATTGTGGGTCTTTTGTCTCCCAGTTTTTAAAATAAATACCTTCCTTGGCTTCAGTAAGACCAGGAATAGGTTTTGCCTCGATGAAGGAACTGCTTGAAACGCGTAATAGGATACCACACATTCACGACGGATTCAGTTGTTACAAAAAACAAATTTTTCGAAGAGATAATAAAGGCTACCACTTAATACGGCTGCGAAACAAAGAAAAAAGCAACTGGTTTATCTATATAGCTATTACTTATCAACTTTTCTCAATGATTTCTGTTTTCGATCCGTTGTTGACATCTACTAAAGTGATTTTGTTTAGTCTTGCCTCCAAATTTAGCAGTTTTATTAACAAGCTCACTTGGTTGGAAATATCAAAAGACATATTCATGATTGGGTGGATCCACAACGTAATCTGGGTCAAGGAACTTCTTTTGGTGTATGTAAACCCACAGACATTAATCTTAATGGCATTATTGGGAACATTATTCAAGATTGCGTTCTTGCAACAAGTCATGAAAATATGCAACCCCCAATCTGCACCTGTTGAACTTCTTTCATGCAAAAGTTTTAGCTTTACCAAGTAGCCATTTTTAAACAGATTGTGGTTGGGAACTAAGCAATCTCTCATGATATACACTTTTTGGTAGTTGAACTTTTTGAAGAAATCAACAAAGTCGACTTTGCACTCAATTGTTTGGTCCACTTTCTTCGTACCATCGTGACCCACTTGCCATACATTCCAAGCATGATAGGTTGCTTCTTCGAACTGATCAAAGTGGCTAAACTTGACTAGTTGAGAGTTAAAAATTGCTGGCTCTGTCACATCTCTCTTGTAAACCGGTTCTCCTGAATAGTTTCCAAATACTATTGGCATACTATCATCCTCCTCTAAGCGTTTGATAAGTGATATAACATTGCTTCCTAAAATTTCAATAGATTCAGTGGAGAGTAAATCGTGGTGCTCGGACTCGCTAGATGCTAGCGTGCTTGGTAGTATGGGATTTGGTTTGTGAGTTGCTCGTGAGAACCAATGCTTTGATCTTGTACCTCCATTTGACTCGGCAGATGGTCCCACTTCTTTGGTCTGCTGTAAATTTTCCGGAGTCTTTCCCATTGAAGTACCTATTGATGAATGTGTACGGGCTGTTTCTCCTGAACTCTTGTGAAACCAGCTTCTCCTTTTCAGCAACTTGTCTTCTTTTTCTTGTTGAGAGTGATTCTGTTGTGATTTGAATGGTTTTGGATCAGGGATTAAAATCGTAGGTGCCTGTTTCAGTTTGGAGAACCAAGTTGTTTTCTTGGTTACAGGAATGCTTCCATTTTGATCAGCAAACTCTTTTAATGTCTTATCCTTTGGGGATGCTTTTCTTTGTATCATCTGGTACTGTTATTCACTGAGCTTATAAAAATTGGTTGCAAAGTTGGGAAAACTTTCTACATTTATAAGCACGCCTTAAAAAATGCATAAAGAATTAAAAGATATGAGAGCAAATATGAGCTACATATTCAATTGAATGAACCAAAGCTTCTTTAGGGGAATATACAGAACCTAAAAAGAGGTTTGGACCACCAAGCTTCTTATAAATACTTATCACTCACAGTTGATGAACCAGTAGTGAACACAAAAGTGAACAAAAAATGTAAACATGAAATTTGGTCTCATCATTCGACGACATCACGATGGCAGATATACTTGATAGAGGAGCAAAGCTTTTTGATGGTCCTGAAAGAGACTACAACCATGCCACAGACTCTCAATATCACAATTTGCGTGCTAAAGCAGATGAGTTCTACAAGAAGAGAAACCATTTGAGTCAACAATCACAAGCTGCCTACAAGGCTGGAGATAAACAGCGTGCACACGAACTCAGTGAGCAGCTGAAACAGGCTCTCAACCAAGCGGAAAACTACAGTGAACAAGCTGCTGAATATGTCTTTCGTGAAAACAATACTGATTCTGCTGCTGATGAGATTGACTTGCATGGGTTGTATGTGAAAGAAGCTAAGTGGATTGTGCAAAGGCGTATAGAGCAAGCTGTTAGAACCAATCAAAGCCACTTGAAAGTTATTGTGGGAAAAGGAAACCATTCTGCCAACGGTATCGCAAAGTTGAAACCTGCTATCGAGGAATTGTGCAATGAAAGTAATTTGAAACACTACATTGACCCAAAGAATAGTGGTGTGTTGGTGATTGACTTAGACAACGCTAGTGCCTCGCAGCTCCCCAACTCTTGGGGCCAAGGACCAATCACACAACCACAACAAGCGTACCACGGAAGTAACCAACCACATTATACCAACCAACAACAACAACACCATGGAGGACAAGGTCACTACCAACAGCAAAATAATGAAGACATCAAGACAGGAAATCAACTTGTCGACTTGCTTATCAAAGGTCTCTGTATGTGTCTCAATAAGAAGTAGAATTAGAATTATAATTGTATATTAGAACTATTTAGAACTATCTGCCTACTCAACAGCCGCATGCACTTGATTCCGATTCTAAATGGATGTTGATTGCATCATTGTAGTCGTCATTTACATCTCCACCACTGGCAGCGTTAAGCTCCTCTTGCTGCAAGGCCATCTTTGCAATAACTTCAAACGCACTTTCCACATTAACTGCGTCTTTTGCACTTGTTTCAAACACCGGGTGGTTCAACCCGCCTAGCTGATTGTGTGTAATATTGTGTAGCTTCTTTTGCAAGCTTGGAATCTTTTTCGAATCATCAACATCGACCTTGTTTCCTATTATGATGAATGGAAAGTCCTGTGGGTTTGATACATTCAGTTGAACGAGAAACTCATCCTTCCAGCTGGTCAAATTGTTTAACGACTTCTCATTCGTCACATCAAAACATAATACACAGCAATCAGCACCTCTATAGAATGCAACACCCAAGCTCTGAAAACGTTCTTGTCCTGCTGTATCCCAGATTTGTAAGGTCACTGTTTTATTATTATCCAATGTGATTTCTTTAGTCAAAAAATCAGCACCAATTGTCGCTTTATATTGTTGACTAAACTTGTTATTAACAAATTGCTGCATCAAAGATGTTTTGCCAACCCCGGAATCACCAAGGATTATAACCTTTAATAACGTCTTTTTCTTTGATGACATAATGTGTTTGTCGTGTACGTCTTTGGAAAAGACTCTGATAAAGGTTGTGGGTTTTGTTTTGTTGACGATAAAAAGTGCAAATGTTATTGAGAGTAGTTATATACAGGATGAAAAATGATAAAGAGCTTCTCCAAGCATTTTTTTAACTTCAAGAAGGGCCAAACAACTACAAAGATGTTCACATCAAATGGTGAAAAACCAGAAATTGTTGAGTTTACATTGTAGTTGTTAATCAGAATGTAATACAGTATTCAATCTATTATTCACCGTTCTTCTCCTCTTTAATTTCATCGTCTGACTTGTGTTCCTCAAACTCTTCATCAAGTTCATCGCCACCTTCGTATTCCATCGGATCAAACTCTGACCTTACTCTGTCCATG